TCAATCTTGCATCCTTTTGAAATGATCATTGTTGATGGTTTCTTACTGTTGCATCATTTTGCTAATTTCAATTTCTTGTTTCTGTAGTTGTCTATGTGGCGGTGCAATGATGAACTACGTGTTCGTGCAGAAGAACTTCACAGGTCTTCCAAGAAAGATGAAGTTGCAAAACACTATATAGGTGTTTACCACAATGTTTCTTTAAACTCTAGATAGATGTTGAATTTTATTTCGTAAAACAGTCTATAAACAATGATATAAACACAAGGTTGTCTAAGTGGTGAAAATATGTTGGGTAGTTACTTTGGTGATAATCTTTGCTTTCTTCATGATGCAGAGTTTTGGAAAAAGATTCCTTCAAGTGAACCATACCGTGTGGTACTTGGTGAAGTAAGGGATAGGCTCTATCATACTCGTGAGCGTTCGCGCCATTTGCTAGCTCATGGGTACTCTGACATTCCAGAGGAAGCCACTTTCACCAATGTTGAGGAGGTATATCATTGTTTGTGCTTTCTTTTTAACGTTATAGTAAAATTATTCAGCTAACAACTTCAGCAGTTCACAAAGATGTAGTTTTGTTTCTTGTATTTTAATAGTAACATTGTTGGGTTTTATTGCACAATTCATGTGTTTTTTGGTGACATTTAGTTCGATAATATGTTAAATTTTAATCGAATGAAATTAATTTTTCCTTGGATGTCTTTATTTGATAGATACTAACTAGAGTTAATTTGTCACAGTTCTTGGAACCGCTTGAACTATGTTACAGATCACTGTGTGCTTGTGGTGATAGAGCAATTGCTGATGGTAGCCTTCTTGATTTCTTGAGACAAGTATCAACTTTTGGACTTTCACTAGTGAGGCTTGATATAAGGCAAGAGTCAGATCGTCACACTGATGTGATGGATGCAATTACCAAACATTTAGACATTGGATCCTACCAAGAATGGTCTGAAGAAAAAAGACAACAATGGTTGTTATCTGAGTTAAGTGGCAAAAGGCCATTATTTGGACCTGACCTTCCTCAAACTGAAGAAATTAGAGATGTTTTGGACACATTTCGTGTCATAGCAGAACTACCACCAGACAACTTTGGAGCCTACATCATATCAATGGCAACTGCACCATCTGATGTGCTAGCTGTAGAACTTCTTCAACGCGAATGCCACATCAAGCATCCATTAAGAGTTGTGCCATTGTTCGAGAAGCTTAATGATTTGGAGGCTGCTCCTGCTGCTTTGGCAAGGTTGTTCTCATTAGAATGGTATAGAAATAGGATCAATGGGAAGCAAGAAGTGATGATTGGTTACTCAGATTCAGGAAAAGATGCTGGAAGGTTCTCTGCAGCATGGCAGCTATATAAGGCTCAAGAGGAACTCATAAATGTTGCTAAGAAGTTTGGTGTTAAGCTAACAATGTTTCATGGTCGTGGTGGAACTGTTGGAAGAGGAGGTGGACCTACTCATCTTGCTATTCTGTCTCAACCTCCAGACACAGTTCATGGATCACTTCGTGTGACAGTTCAAGGTGAAGTTATTGAGCAATCATTTGGGGAGCAACACTTGTGCTTTAGAACACTACAACGTTTCACTGCTGCTACTCTAGAACATGGCATGCACCCCCCAATTTCTCCAAAGCCAGAATGGCGTGCTTTGATGGATCAGATGGCTGTCATTGCTACTCAGGAATACCGTTCAATTGTATTCAAGGAACCACGCTTCGTTGAATATTTTCGCCTGGTAAGGATCACATTTAGAGTTTAATCAAGTACTTATTCAATAAGCTTTTATTGAACGAAAGCTTATTTGTAAGTTTGACTCTGAAACAAACTGAAATAAATTAATAAGATCTTACTTTGATAAGTTTTTATAGAAAATTCACAAGCAATGTTCTTGAACTTAAATGAGCTCTTCCAAATGGCTCAAGATATCATAAAATCATCAAATTTAATGACATTTAAATCGTAACAATCATTGTCAACTTTGTATCATGTAGGCTACACCAGAGTTGGAGTATGGCAGGATGAACATTGGAAGTAGGCCAGCAAAGAGAAAGCCTAGTGGAGGCATTGAAACACTGCGTGCAATACCTTGGATCTTTGCATGGACACAGACAAGGTTTCATCTTCCAGTATGGCTAGGCTTTGGAGCAGCATTTAAACAAGTTATTGAGAAGGATGTCAGGAATCTTAATATGCTGCAAGAGATGTACAATCAGTGGCCTTTCTTTAGGGTCACACTTGATTTGGTGGAAATGGTGTTTGCCAAAGGAGACCCAGGAATCGCTGCTCTAAATGATAAGCTCCTTGTTTCAAAGGATCTGTGGCCATTTGGAGATCAGTTGAGGAACAAATATGAAGAAACTAAGAAACTCCTACTTCAGGTAATGTTACTTTTACCATGTATATATTAAGCATATTATAGTTTTGAACTCATTCCAAAAATGCCTTTGTGAAAAGTCACTTGTTTATCCTCCAAAATTAAATAGAGCATAGATACTCTAAACAAAATTGTTATTAACTTTTTCATAAATACCAAGTTAAACACTATTATTTGTATTCTATGTGTTTTGTCAAATCATTTCTAGTAAACCATACATTTGAAGAACTTTGTCTACCTTCAATTAAAATTTAAAGCTAAAAAAATTATGGCATTAGTAAGTTGGACTAAACTAGTCATGATTACTTATTAAATATGAGCACTAAATGTTTTCCTAGTAGAAAATGCTTAGTAGACACCCTTTAAGGTGGAAACAGCCAGAATAAGATTAAAAAAAAGAAAAGAAATGATAAATGTGATAGGTGATATGACGTGTCAGAAAGACAAAATAGAATCAAGAGGGGTGTCAAATGAATTGTGATTCTTATAAATCAGAATTGTTTCTCAGCTAGTGTCTAGATCGTACAAGTAGACACTCTTTAAGGTGGAAACACCCAAAAGTATTAAAAAAAAGGAGAAAGTGGTGGGTGATATGACGTGTTTGAAAGACAAAATTGAAAGTCGAGGAGTGTCAAGTGAATTGTGATACTGTTAGAATGTTTATAAATAAGAATGTTTCCTTAGCAAGTGTCTAGATCCTACAAATAGTCTCTTTTTGCCATTCAATTTATCAAATTTTAGCAATTGATTCTTTTACGAATTTCGAAGATTCAACACCAATTAACTGGACTGATGAGTTATTTCACAAGGTGATTTATGTTTTGCGTTGTATTGTTATAGGTGGCTGGACACAAGGAAGTTCTTGAAGGAGACCCCTACTTGAAGCAAAGACTTAGGCTTCGTGATTCTTACATTACTACTCTAAATGTTTTCCAAGCTTACACATTGAAACGTATCCGTGAACCTAACTATAAGGTGAAGGCGCGCCCTCGCATATCAAAAGAGTCAGCAGAGACAAGTAAATCAGCTGATGAACTTGTAACACTGAACCCAACAAGTGAATATGCCCCTGGTTTGGAAGACACCCTCATTCTCACCATGAAGGGTATTGCTGCTGGCATGCAAAACACTGGTTAAATTTTAGTCACTTTCTTTTCCCTTACTTTCCTTGTATTTTTGCTTTCTTGAGTCTCAAGCTACCACCACGAACATGTTTGATTCTAGTTGTAGCACTAAACGTGAGTGCCCTTTTTGGTTCTTTTATCCATTTCTTATGCTACTATGTTACCTATCTACCATTTTGTACAATGTCACACAAATGAGTCAATGCAACACCGATCGTTATGTTTCAGTGAGGAAATTATGCCGAGTACTACTGCCCCTTCTTGTACTTCATCTTGTTTTGTTTGTCGTCATTCAATAAATCTGGTAGTGTTTGCTACACGAGTTGAAATCAATAACCATATATGTATGTTAACATAGGATTTGATTCTTCTCATATTCATTACTCTCGTTGAATGAAAAGAAAATTACTATTGCGGAAGAATAAAAAAATTTCAATTACACTGGGAAGTTTAATTACCATAAAAGTTATTGGAGAAATAAATTTGCATATTAACTATAACAAAGGTTATCATCATCATCATTATTATTAAAAACGAAAATAATTAAGATGTATAACTCAATTCCACAACACATTCAATGTTCCGGTCAATAAAAAATTTAGGCAACAAGATGCTTAGAAGAACTTGTCCAAAACTAAGAGGAACTTTAAAGGCAGTGCTTAAATTTAATGAACTGCATTTAACTAATTGAAAGCAGTAGTAATTTGCACAAGCAACTGTTTCTTATCAGAATGCGAAATCTACTTATATAAATATTATACTACTTCATTGGGTATCACTAATAAAAATGCTTTACTTGAACAAAATTGGTTTAAGTTAATTTATTTTATTTATTCATTTTTTAAAATTTTAAAAAATTTGACATAAATAAAACCTTATTTATGAATTATTATTATTTTAGAAAACATATACTATAATTTTTATATTATTGGTTTTTTATAACTTAATTTCCTATATTTCATAATAATTTATGATTTCAGATATAATACAATGTTAAATCTATGTATATTTTGTTTATAATTAACTCAACTATTGATGGTTAAAATGAGTTAGGGCCTGTTTGGATAGTTCTTGGAACATAATCGTGGAGGAATCGATATTTAGCTCATTTTCACAAAGCATGCCTACATAAATAGGTACTTAGATTAAATCAAGTTGAATCTATTGATTTGATATACATATGTTTTTAAAATCTATTTTTACTTTTAAAAAAAATCTAACCTAGTCAAAAGCCTAATTAAAATTTTATTTATAAGAAAATATTTTAACTAAACTTACAAATTCATTTCTAAATAAATTAGCAAATTTAAACATATCTAGACTTAAAACTTTTTAATAAGCTAATAAATGTATGATTTTGAAGCATTATAATAAAAAATAATATAATTATGATAGTATTAACATTACTATTATCACATTCTTTATATTTATTTAAATAAGTCAAAATATTTAATAAAACTACAGACAAACTTGTTATTGTTTAGAGAAAAAGGAAAAATAAACGGCGCAGCATAGACAAATGTGAAGTATTTGCTTTGCTTTGCGAGGAAGGAAGTGTGTGATACTCTGTCCATTTTCAATCCTTTGAAAGACAGTGTGTAGTGTTGAGGCAACAAGAAGAAGGAAACAGCAATTTCATTTCATTTAAATTTCAATGTCCACTGTGAGACATAGACGGTCTCAGCCGTCTGATCCATCGGCATCAGAACCATACACGAAGGTTGACAAGCCCCAGAAATTGGAGGAGAAAGATGAAGAAGCGTTAGGGTGGTTTTTCCCCTTTCTGGCTCTTGGATTGTTGAGGTACATGAGTGCCACCACCAACATCATCCACGATTGCGACGAAGTCTTCAATTACTGGGAACCCCTTCATTTCCTTCTTTACAAAACTGGCTTCCAAACATGGGAATACAGGTACCTGCTCACACCCTTTTTCTCTCTCATGTTTGGATTCATTTTTTAGAAGATGGGTCATTGGAGAACTGAAAAAGTTTTGATTTTGATGATTTAATATGCTTGTAGCTTGTGGATGATATGGTGAGAGATGAAATCGTTTTGATGATGCCCTTGTTGGGTTTTGTCTATAATTTGCAAAAGTTTAATTAATTAGAAGCATTACTGATGGAGAAAAAAAATGGGAAGAAATATTCGTTAGTTTCAGTTATGGTATTGAGAAATGACAAGTGGTATATGCATGGTTGCAGTTCACAGTTTGCTCTTCGGTCCTATTTGTACCTTTTGTTTCATGAAATTGTGGGTCGACCAGCTTCGTGGTTGTTTAGTGAGGAAAAAGTAAGATTCAAGCTGTGCTTACTTGTTGAATTGTTATGGATTGTAGACTTTTATGCTGATGAGTTTCATGTCACTGTTGTCTTTTTCCTGTTGTAGGTGAGAGTTTTCTATGCTGTGAGATTCTTTCTCGGTTTTCTTTCTGTTGTCGCTGATGCTGTTCTTGTGGTAGCTCTTTCCCAAAAATATGGAAAACGACTGGCTTCCTATGCACTTGCTATGCTGTGCTTAACCAGTGGATGTTTCTTTGCTAGCACAAGTAAGTGAGAATTTAGCTCCTTTTTCAGATAAATAATGGTTTACTAAGTATTACGTATTTCATGATTCTGCATTCTGGTATGAGTTGTTGGGCTCGGTTTTGCTAATGCGCTTCTTTATCAAATTTTTTATCATCTCTAGGTTTCTTGCCAAGTTCGTTTTCTATGTACGCAATATCTCTTGCATCAGGTTTATTTCTTCTGGATAAGCCTGCTGCAGCCATTTCTGTTGCTGCTATTGGTGTAATACTTGGCTGGCCATTCTCAATTTTGGCTTTCCTTCCAGTGACACTTTATTCTCTATATAGAAAATTCAAACATGCATTCATTGCTGGGGCTGTCACATCGGTTATTTTTCTGGTAAGTAAGACATCTTTTCCCTCACATTGACCTTCTCTGGCCTATAAATTATGTCTATACCATATAATGTTGTATATAATATTTAGTGTTGCATCCTATTATGTTATTAAATTCATATCCTTTGCAATGGTGGCATGTTTTAATTTTTACAGGCATTGTCAATTGTTACCGACTTTCACTACTATGGAAAATGGACTTCATCTGTCTTGAATCTTTTAGTATACAACGTAGCTGGAGGTGGTGAAAGCCATCTGTATGGGACTGAAGGGCCTCTTTATTATCTGAGGAATGGATTTAACAATTTCAACTTTTGTTTTGTTCTTGCTCTGTTGTTCTTGGCAATTCTGCCCATTGCAAAGAAGAAATATGCACCTGACCTACTGATTGTGATATCTCCCATATATATTTGGCTGGGTTTCATGTCTTTGCAGCCACATAAAGAAGAAAGGTTTGGCAAAATTTTTACCTGGTTTTCTGTTACAAATCTATTCATACAATGCCATTTGAGACAAACATTGTCTACACACTTGCAGAATGCACACACCATGTACATTTTTATGTTATATGTTATGAGATTGAAATGGATATCTATCTCTTATGTCCTCCACTTTTGGTTTATATAAGTCTACCTACCTTCTACTTTTGGTAATATCCAATATAGGTTCGTTTTTAAAAATGGGAGCTTAAATGGTTATGTTCAGATTTAGAAAGACAAGAATTGCATGTGCATTGGTGCACTCACCTATAATTAAGGAACTTGGAACCTCGTTAATTAGTGGACTAGCTTATAGTGAAAGAAGCATTTAATTTTAACTAGGAGTGAAATCAGTTTCCAAATTATCTACACTATTGCAAATTTTCTTTTGTGCATTGATCAACGGAAGGAAGAAATTGGGGACAAGAAAAATTTTTAGTTTAGTGTCACAGGCATTTCCAAATTAGTATTATTCCTTCAGCTTGTTCATCTCGGTTAATTAAATCAAATAATTATAATTTATGCATTTGAAAGTGTTATTATTAAAATCTACAATTGAACACACTGACATGGATGAGTGATTTTTTTCTCTGTCTTTATTCATCTATGCCTTTTACGTGCAGGTTCCTTTATCCAGTATATCCACTTATTTGTGTTGCTGCTTCAGCTGTCATTGACAGCTTTCCTGATCTTTTCCGTGACAAATATAATCCCTATGATAAATCTATAATGGTGACGGTGAGATATCAATTTATATGAGAATCAGATAGATCTTTATACATCTGATATAGAAGCAATAAATACAGTCTGAATTTCACTCCTGCTAAATGCAGATAGCCAGAGTTCTGAGACCAGTGATTCTTAGCCTCATACTATATGCCTCTCATGCTCGTACATTTTCTCTGATTCATGGTTACTCAGCTCCCGTGGAAGTTTACAAGATTTTGGAACACCATGATGCAGATAACAGTGAGAGTCAAATATTTGGTGTCTTTGTTTCTATATTTTATGAATGGCCATTTTTAAGTCTGTGATTGAGCGATGTAATTAAGTCATGTGTGATAAGGCCAGGAAGTTTTTAGTTAGGATTAGTTAGTTAAAATAGTTAGGTGGCTAAACTTGTAGAGGTAGGTAATTTGCTTAATTTGAATGAGGGGGTAGAAGAGTGCCCAGTTATCAATGGCGTGCTATAGCAACATAGTGAGTCAGAAACCAGTTTCAGTGTTCACATTTAGTACGTATTTTGAGACAAAAAACATCATAATTATGTATCATTTTGTTCATTTGCATTACAGATTCTATACTTTGCGTGGGAAGCGAATGGCATCGCTTTCCATCATCATTTTTCATTCCAGATTATGTGGGACAAGTTCGATGGATTGATGATGGATTCCGAGGCCTTCTTCCCTTCCAATTTAATTCTACCCTAGGCGGGACTTCAGCAGCACCACCATATTTTAACAACAAAAACGTGGCATCAGATGAGCAATATGTATGTCCTCTTTAACTGCATATATAGGTGCTAGAGTGCTAATACTTTTGCTCTTTATAATTTTTTGTCATGAGACAAGTGACTAACATTGATTTGGCAGCTCCATGATGTTGATGCTTGTACTTTCCTGGTGGAGCTGCAGCTAAAGCGGCCTTACTTGACTCGTGGAAGTGACTTGTCAACCTGGGAGGTAATTCATTGTTGAAGTTCCTCTTCTCATAGTGAATGCTAATATTTGCTTCTAATTATTTGGATATTGGTTTTTTTTCAGCCTATTGCTGCATTGCCTTATCTGGACAGAGAACTTTCCCCGGCTTTGTATAGGTCTTTTTTCATTCCCTACCTTTGGCAAGAGAAGAATGTTTTTGGCATGTATAAGCTGCTTAGAAGAATACCCAAATGATTATTTTGGGGGGAAGGGGCTTAAAACTGTCATTGAATATGGTGGATTTAGGACAACCATTTTTGTCAGAGACAGGGAGCTTTTGGTCATCTGTTGTTGAATATTTGATTTAGTTCTAGTCTGGTTAAATTTGTACTGTTGTCTGCTCTCCTACTTTTCTCATGGAAGCATTCATTTAACCATTCATTTATGGATAAGGGTGTGTTTGGGTGAGCGTATGTTCGTTTTATTTTAGATGGTTTGATTTTTCAAAATTGATTTTGGTTAAAATTGAGTCTGAAGTAAAGTGAACCATGATTAAAAACTTGTATTTCAAAAATAAGTTTGTGATCAAACTTGGTATAATTTTTTCAATGCAACACAAAAGCTATATAAGATTGACATATGCTTAAATCATGCCCACTTTCCCTTGTTTGAAACATGGAACCAAATATTTTCTGAAACGAGTGCGAAAATGCCTCAAACCCTGTTTGGAGCTTCTATAAAAGTTTGCTTAGGTGCTGCAAACCAACCGCAAGGGTAAATGTCTGCAAAATTGATTTTAAATATTTTATTAAATTGATTTAGTTAAAATTAAGTTTGAATTGAGCGATCTATATTTGAAAATTGTCTCAAAAGTAACTTTGTAATAAAATTGAGTTTGAAATTCTCAAACAGAAAAAAGTTACATGATTTGTTTCTGACAAAATTACATCTAATCCACTTTTCTCGTTTGAAACAAAACCCAGTGTTTTGTTTTTTAAACAATAATAGTATTTTTACATTTTTTTTACATCATTTATCATATATATATTCTTTCTATTTCTCCTTTTCCAGACCCAAATTACACCCCTTTATTGGATGTTGAATTATCATTATCCTTTTCTAAACAAGTTTATAGAAAGCAAAATATTGATTAAAAGTCAAAACTTCCACCAAAAGGATAACATCTGTTTTGTTTACAGAAATGTGTTTGATTTAACTTATTTTAAAAAAATAATCACTAATTTTTATCAGTTTTTGAGAATTTTTGAAAAATAAGTACTTTTTTTAAAATGAATCTCTTACCGAACATGTCCTAAATGAATGTCGGGTTTAACTTTTTTTTTTTTATTTTAAGCAATCAATTGTTTTTATTAATTTTTTAAAAAAATAGCTATTTCTTTAAAAATAAATCATTACTAAACACACTAAGTTCAGCATAGCAAACGAAAACGCTTTACGAAAGTACATATCCTAAAAATCTTAGAAGTTATAAATAGATTTAATTCATATTTAACTTAAAAGAAGAATATTAGGAATAGTTTTTCTATATTTTTCTTAGTACATTCTTGATTAGAGAAAAAATAATGACAATTCCTCACCAATTTCTTAAAATTGATGGCCTCTTCTAGGAATGATTGCCCATACAAGTCACAACTTTAAAAAAAAAGGTTTTTTTTTTCTTTTTATGTATACTCATACAAAGAGAGCATAATTAAATGTGCACTTAATAGCTAAAATTAATGTGTCTTATTAAATGATGTAGATGCCAATTCTTATTTATTCAAGCTCGTTTCCTATTAAGTAGATTTCATATAAATAATAGAGAATATTAAAAAACTGTATTGCTAATTAAACATGCCTAATAAAAATTTGCCGTTTAAAGGATCTAACCCAAAAATATTACTATTTATCTTTTTTAACATAAAAATAAAAAATACTTAATAAATACTCCATCTGTGTCTGAAATATAGTCTCTTTAATTAATTTTATAATTCTCAAAATAATAGTTACTTTATAATTTTAAGGTAGAACGAATTTGTTTCTTCTAATTTTATTTTAAAATGAGTATAATAAAAAATTTCATAATACTTTTAATAAAAATAGATAATTAAATAAAATTTTCAATTTTTGTACTGAACTTTAAACAAACAATTTTCGGAGACGGAAGGAGTAGTATTGTTCTATAAAAGTAATTAAATATATATTTTAACAGATGATCCGTTACAATGATAGTGTTTGATTCATTTTTTAGCTTCTCTTGTTACTTTCTGCACAATCTAATTTCCCTAGTTGCATCATTGCTTCTTTCTTCTTTTTTTTTGAAATTTTATTTCTAAAAGTGTATTTAATATATTTTAAATATTAAAATTTGAAAATTATTTAATAATTACTTCTAGAATTTATTTTCTAATATCTAATATGTTCGTTGTGTCAAATACGATTGTATAAAGACTTTTAAAAAAATGAAATGAGCTTCATTTTTTAATGAAGCAAACATACACAAAAATGTTTAAATTAAAATTAAATTTTGAGTTAAAAAATTATTAAATAAATTTAAATTTAATTGTTTAATTTTAAATTTAAAGAAGATTTATATTAAAAAAACTGAAGCAAAAAACTCGTAAGATTTTCTCTATTTTCATAAAATTTTACATCTTAAATACCTTAAAACAAATTTTAAATAAAATCATAATAATTTTATTAAATTATTTTTATTAATTTAAAAAGATCTTCCAAATCTTATTAAATTATCAAAATTAATTTATTTGCTTCTGGCATTGACATTCTTGAAATAAATTCCACATTACATATTCCATGAAACTTGAAGAACACAAATTACAATATTTACCATTCAAAGTAAAACTTGAATTGATACTTGTACCCTACATAGCTACTGTAATCAGTGTCACATAAAAATATCAATTCTGATTATCAAATCCTTTTTGGGGATTGCTTGATCCCAAATTAACATCTAATCTCAATTGGTTGTTTTGTATCCAACTAACTGTTTTCCCTGTACCAAGTTATAAACTTGCTCAATTAGTTGAAAAAATAATAATAAAAAGAAGAAGAAGAAAGGTACACTGATTGTGAAACATTTGGAATATATGGTAGGTGGAAACATTACCTCTTACAGAAACAATGATTAAAGGCCACCACACTAAGACATTCCATTTTGCATAACTGCCTTATTCTGTACATCAATACACTTGTGGAATTAAGACAAACAAAACAGATGTGCAGTTGTTGTCTTAAATAGGTACTAAGATCAATGATCACCAAAGTTATGCTGTTTGAAACATAAACAGTCAGAAATTCAATAAAATTTTAGGAAAATATATTTTGAACCATCAAGAGGGGATATATGTTTCTCCTTCATAATTGAGATGTATTTTTTGGGATGAACAAGCATATATATGATGTTGTAAATGGTGTCAATTTTTAATGATTCAAATAATGAAACTCAATTTTAATTTTGAGAAAAGTTGACAGAGGATTCATCAAGCATCAGCTCGAGTCGCATTCTTTTTCTTTTTAGTGGAATCTTGAAGGAGAAAAATGACCCGGAAAAATCATCATCAAATATGTAAAAATAAGGCAACTCTGCTACACTTGAAATTTAACAAGAACAAGTTAAGAAATCAATCGGATCAATCCACATCAAAATATGCAAATTGAACCTTGTTGTGCCAATAATGCAATTACATGATTTACATTATTTTAGATACATATGCTTCAGGAAATTATTTAGTCACTTCTTTTGTAAAAAATTATTGTGTGATATGAGACTATTATGTAGTTATAATTTTAATCAATAGTTATGCATCAATGACAAATTTTGTAATTCACAAAATGGTGTTATAATAAATATGTGGTGATCCTAAACCACATATTAAAGTCTCTCTTTTTCCACATCAGTATTTAGCCTTATAAGTTCAACTTTGAAGCATAGTAGTTAATAGTGGCAGGCATAGTGGAATGGAGCAACTTTCCGCTGCTATTCCAAGTATATAGCAACCGTTATTTCTTTGATGCGGGATATAAATATTAATTGTATCCTTATTTTCTTTTGTTCTATTTTATTATGCTACTATCTATGATTGACTACTGTGCTTTGAAGGGAATAAGGATTTATAAAATCTATGTTTCTTTAGAATTAGAAATATAATCTATTATCAATAACTCCTTTTGTGCCATAATAATTTTTAATAAATCAGATTAAAACAATTTATAGCAAAGAATTTAATTTTCTTTGCTCAAAACAAATATTGAATATTTTAATATTATTAATTCTATTTTTGAATTTTTAAATAAAATTTTCCCCATATGCCTTTCTTTTTCTTTTTTCAAGTTACAAGGTCAATTTCTTATCAATGTTGGCAATGAACATTTAACTGATCTTCACAAAAGGTAATGTCACATAAGGATAGCAGAGCTATGGAAGAAATAAGAATGAATGGCTGATTTTTTTTTTATTGTGTTTTAAATTATAGCTAAATTTTCGTCTACCACATATTTTAATAATATACAAAAGCACTTATCTTTTCAATTTTACACGATAGTATGATTTGATAAAATGGTGCCCTAGAGTTATGGGGACACCAATTTCTGTTCCATGAATAATGATGTGACACGGTGTCTAAAAGTGTAAATGTTACCTACCTCTTTTCTCTTTTTTTCTTTTGTTTTTGAAAGAATCTTGGCTACCAATCATGACCATTAATCCATTCAAAATAACTTTTGTTTTGGTGAAAAACAAGATGGTTTTTATTCAAATAATGCAAATTTAAAAACTGGTTTTAACAAAAATAAGTCTATTATTATCATTATTATTATTTTTATTATCACATGAACATTCTTGTAATCTCTATGATATTATAGTGTTACGCTATAGAAATTTGGAAGAATTTGATTGGGTTGTGATGGTAACACGGTTGAAGTAAATTCACTTTTTCTGAAAAAAAAAAGAGGAAGAAAAAACCCATAGATTTAAACAATGCATACATATATACCTATACAAAATTTTATTGTAGCGAATAATTAAAAGGGCACTTTTAATTAATATTTTGCGTAGTTAAATTATTTGGGTAGAAAAACCCCAATTAAAGAAGCATTATGGAAGGAACTTAAAAAAAAAAAAAAAACAGAGTAGAATGATAGTTTTGATACCCTCGTTGAATAGATGTGGATACCGTGCGTGTCACAATTTGATTGGCTTTATTCAGCTACCGTTAAAACGCTTAAACACCAGATAATTTCCTCCTGATGTTTGAAACAATAAAAACACTAGTGATTTTTGGATTTTGTTTACATGGGAAAAAAATAAAATTATTAAAATATGATATTTTAAAAAAAAATTAAAAATAATGGAAATATGATTTTTTAAATTTTCATTTTAGTTTTTAAAAATTTTGTTAGTATTTTAACTTTTTTTAAAAATAAAATAATCAGTTTTTGGATAGTTTCAATTACTAATAACTAGTGATTTTTTAATGTATAAATATAATTAATTAAAATATCTACTAAGTAAAAAACCAAAATAAAAATTTGTTGATTATTTTAAATTTTAAATATAATAAATATTTTGTTATATTAAATTAGGAAGATAGAATGTTAAAATTAAAAAAATAAAAAAAAATTAATATTAAATTAAGTTAAATGCTCGATGTAGTCGCACAACATTATAAAAAATTAATTTTTAAAATATTTTAATTTAAAATAATTATAAAAATATCATTGTTTAAAATGAAAAACTTGTATTTTATATAAAAAAAGATTAAAAATATATTTTTAATGTAATATAATATCGTACTTAATATTGTTTTTTCCTTTTCTCTATTCACATAGATTTGAAATCTCAACTTATGATTCGAACTTTTAATTCCGAAAACCATGGGACATCCAGACATGAGGATTTTTATGAAATTATATTTAAGATTTATTAACAAAAATTATAAATGTTTCAAAAATATTTTTGAGTGAATTTCTTTATTTTATTTTGAATTGATAAATTCTATATTTTATTGAATGTTTCAAAAATATTTTTTCTAAAATTTGAGACAACAAAATATTTTTAAGAGTTCAACACTAATAATTATTGTTATTTCAAAATAATTTTCACGTAATAAAGTTTGATACAGAACATTTGAATAAATAAATTAATTTCATACAATGAATTCAATAAAATCTTGCACCATTATAACAAAAAAGTATATAATATATAGTAGTTTGTAAAATAACAACAAATTTTATCTATATAATTATTATCAATTTATTCATAATTAGAGCAATCTATTATAAATTAATATTTTCAAAATACTTTATTAACATGAAAATTGACAAAGGAGGAGTAAGATAACGTCAACACACTGTTCAATTTCTTTTCATAATTTAATTATAAATATAATTGCTAAATTAAAAATTTTAATAACATAAATAATGTATATAAAGTTTGACATTAATTCAACATATATTTTAAAAAATTATATAAAAATAAAAAATAAAAAAATTTAAATTTAAGTAAAATTATATACAAATAATTTAAATAATAAATAATTATAATTTAATTATTAAATTAATGAAAATATCTTTTATATTAAATTATTAAACAATGTAAGAGTTAACTCTAAAGTATTTTGATTAATTTCAGTCCTTTCTAAAACCATGGCTCGCACTCTCTCTCTCTCTATCTCTTATAGACTCTGACCGGCAAAAGCAGGTTGCCTATAAAATGTAAGAACCGCATCTACCATTCTCTTAACTTGTGGTTCCACTTTCTCTCTCTAACCAGTGACAGTAACCCAAACACACTGAGCAGAGAGACAGTGGAACCAGTTCCAAACTCATATCAGCCATGGCTTCCTCCAAAGACCGCGACAACTTCGTCTATGTTGCCAAGCTTGCAGAACAAGCTGAACGCTACGATGGTTCTCTCTCTCTCTCTCTCTCTCTCACTGTGAACACTTGTTCTGATTCTCTCATTTTAGCTTCATTCCACTTTCAATCACGTTTTCAGCAGCTTCTACTGCTATACACTTTCTCGTTTTCCTTATAACACCATTTACTGTCATAAAGTTTCAATTTTTCCTCAAAAGCTCGCTCCTTTTTCACTTGCTACTGCACTTTCACATGCCCACATCATCATCTCAATTATTTGGGGAAAAAAGAATAAAATTTGGATTTTGTACTGGTATATATGCATGTGTGTGTGTGTGTGTGCAAATTGTAATGTGTTTTGGAATTTGATTGAAGAGTGTTGAATGGTGGAGTGGTGTGGTGTGCAGAAATGGTGGATGCCATGAAGAAAGTGGCGAAGCTAGACGTTGAGTTGAGTGTGGAAGAGAGAAACTTGTTCTCTGTTGGGTACAAGAATGTGGTGGGGTCTCGGAGAGCTTCATGGAGGATCTTATCATCAATAGAGCAGAAAGAGGAGTCAAAAGGGAATGAGTTGTATGTTAAGCGTATCAGAGATTACAGGCAGAAGGTGGAGTTGGAGCTCTCCAACATTTGCAGAGACATTATGATAGTTTTAGATGAGCATCTTATTCCATCCACTAATATTGCTGAGTCCACAGTGTTTTATTACAAGATGTATGTTCTTAAGTGCTTTTTGTTGGTCATGTGTGTATTGGCCTTTCAAAACTGTTTTTAGAGTTTTGGCTTGGATGCAGGAAAGGAGACTATTACCGGTATTTAGCAGAATTCAAATCTGGTAATGAAAAGAAAGAGGTAGCAGATCAGTCACTTAAAGCATATCAGGTATTCACTTGATGTTAATTAGGATTAGTTACCTCTTTACAGTGAATTTGCCTTATGCTTATGTACCTGCCAGAATGCTACTTACAAGGTTGAGATGAACTTTGCTACTTTTCAATGTTAGCACAAAATGTAGATGATGTTTACTAGTTCAAGGACATCACCTGCTAGTGATATGACTGGTTATCATCCTTTCACAACTTTGTGTTGGGAGGTTAGGTAGAGATGTTTCCTTCGAAGTCTGGCCCGTAAGATGCTGCTACTTGGGAATACCTTTTTTGCCATGACCTTTATTAGGCCTAAGAATTTATCTGGACATCTTTGTGCCCTATATTTTCTAGGATTAGGTTTTATGTTAATAAACTCTCGTGAATTAGTTCTTTTCTGTACATTAGCTGCTACTTTAACCTATTCTTAATATATGGACTACGGTTCCTTACCTCCATTGGGGGGATTCATTGGGATTTATACCATATTTTTGACCAGTGAATTATATCTATTTAAATTCTCAACAGATGAACTCCAATGCTTCTGTGAGAAAAAGAGTGGAAAAACTATTTTTCTTTATGCTTTGTGAGGGCACAACCAGCTGCATGAATACTTGTATGCCCTGTGAAGGAGAGCAATATCTTTCATTAGATGCTTAACAATTTTGTGCTTCTATGCAATTGCCAATGTCTTTTTTATAACCTGTCATGATTTTCTTTATCCTATGAATGGGGACCTGACCTATTGTAGAAGATTTTACAACTTGTAATTTCTCTTCCCATCTTAATTGTTTGAAGGATACAAAATTAAGGATTTTGTTCCCTTTCTACGATAAAATGAGGAGATTCTTTTGTTTCTTTCAAATGAATCATTTGTTTACATTCAGTATGAAAACATAGATGTTCAGCCGATATCTTGAATCTTGGAATAGGAATCAGCATAATATAGAAAGGTATTTGCAGTCTCTGAAAATTGAGCTCCAATGTAAATTATGAAGGTCTTAAAAACTTAAGAAGAGGCAGATGGAAAAAGAACATTTATTTGGGAGGATTTGTGGTTGGGAGGGCAGTAATTTATAGGGTCATCTGTTGCATACTCTTTCCTATTAGGTGACAATCTCCCTGCATAATATTCAGCTTTATATGCTAGTGACCACTTTACTGTGTCAACCTGAATAATTTGGGGTGCAGAGTTAGTATACATAGTTGCTGGGGCACTTCTTAGTATACGAAGTTGCTGGTGCACTTTTAATTTCTTAGCATACATTGTTCCATACAGTTTCACCTGCTTATATTCAGTGCCCACTACAAAATACATGTGCATCATTTGGGACTGGAAGTTAAAATTTTGAACTTCTAAACTGTTTTATGGTCCATTGTATTAAATCTGTATTGAATGAAAATATCAAATATCTGTAGCTTTATTCATCAATCTTCCTGTGGTAGGAAAAATCTGTTCTAACATGAGGTCTGTAAAGTGCACAAGGCCAAGGGTGTACTCACCATTAAATTTTAATGCATTAAAATATGATTTAATATAAATTAAATGAAGCATGGATACGCCCTTACTTGTGCACTTTATTGACAAGCTCAGTTTACAGGAGCTTTTTCCTCTGTGGTATGTTAAGTATTGTGATCTCTGTACTGTTGCAGTTTGTTTTTGTGAATTTGAGGAATTGCCTTTCTTGCTTCTAAAGTTCATAGACGCCTGTTGCTTATGACCAATAATATGTCCTTGGAGTTTGCATCAGTTTTTCATGTTATGCTACTCGTCTAATGTTTATTTTGTTATTCCTCAATATTGTTACTTCAAATTTCCAGCACAGACTAAAGCTTCTGAGTTATGATTATTTGCAGACAGCTTCTACCACTGCCGAGAGTGAACTACAATCTACACATCCCATTCGTTTGGGTCTGGCTCTAAATTTCTCTGTGTTTTATTATGAGATAATGAATTCACCTGAAAGGTATGTGGAAATAGTTGTGCCGGTGATAGAAAGGGCATAGTGACAGATCCTTACTTTGTGTAACTCGTTTCCAGGGCCTGCCACCTTGCAAAGCAAGCCTTTGATGATGCCGTCTCAGAGCTGGATTCCCTAAATGAGGAATCTTACAAGGACAGTACCTTGATTATGCAGCTGTTGAGAGATAACCTTACTTTATGGACTTCTGATATCCCAGAAGATGATGGTAAGATATAGAACTCATGCGTAATACAACTTCCATTTCTTTAAGATTCAAAGGATTTTGAGGTTCCCATAATTGCTGATCAATTGGTTTTTTATGCCTATTCCTCTTCACATTTGAAAATTTTAAGGCCTACTTGGTTTCTGAAAACGTTTTTTATTTTCACTGCTATCTTGTTTTCATTTTATTTCTTGTTTTTTAAGATTTGTACAGGAAACAGTGAAAAATGATAAATATTATTTTCCTTGTGTTTCCTGTACAAGTCTTTGAAATCAGAAACAGAATAAAAATAGAAAATGAAAACAGAAGACATTTCCTGAAACCAAACAGCGCTTTAAGTTTTCATCATCTCTTTTACCAAGATTCAGTTGCTCCTTATTGGTCCTATTATGGATATATGATAATTTTTGGTAACTAAACTTTTAATAGAAGTTCTTTGATTTAACTAGTTGAGGATCTAATTTTCCATTTCAGAGGACCAAAAAATGGAATGCACAGCCAGGAGTGGTCAAGGAGAAGATGAGTTGGGCCGCTAACCCATCATTCTGTCATAACTATAAGATTGATATATCAATTTTTCTCACAAGCATATTTTCTCCACTGTAGTGAAGCCTCTATATGAATGATGCACTGCACCTCATCAACTTTGAGTTATTGTTGTTATTTCCGAGTGACAGCATATTTGAAACATCTGCTTCATTTGTATGCTATTTTTGGCCAGTTTTATTCATGTCTGGGACAGAAACACCATTGATTTGCAATGCATGATTTCACTATTTTTATTCTATTGAAAAACTGATCGTAGAGCCAGCCCTAATATTGCCATATTTTATTGTGTCATTTTATTAAAACAATAATTTCAGGTTAATCCTCTACTTATAATAATATGAAGAAAGACGTATAAAATAATTTAAAACATAAAAAAAGAATCTCAATATTTTTTACCCATTAATTTTTCTGAAATCTATTCAATTTATAAAGCATACAAGTTAATATTTATTTATTTTTATCAAATGTGGATTTTAATTTTACCTAAAAGTTTATGAACATAGAGATGTTAAATTTTGTACAATGACCTTTTTAATTTTTATTTTTTTTTATCGAAAGTTGGCATGAGAAAGATTCAAGACTTCTTGATCTGGTCGTCCACAAGAAATGTCGAACCTTTGAAACAAATAAATGTCAAACGGGGTGTCTGCATAGTTCGTTTATTTATTTTATCTAAATAAATGAATTCAAAGCACGTTGAATATGTACGTCGGAAGAGCATTATTTGTTTCAAACTACAATAAAAATTTGCTAATGGCAGAATTGAACCTGTGCTTTCTACCCATCACTTGGAAAGCTTCGGTTGCAAGCATCTTGATCATGGAGTGAAATAAATCTGAAAATTTCAAAACGAAAATGTCAGTACGCGTCGGAAACATGTCAAAGTCCATCATCAACAACCCAAACGAGAGATAATTAGTCTAGTTGTGTACTTTGACCCCCCCAAAAATAGTCTAGCTACGTACTATATATAGTGAATACTCCAATATTTAGATAATAAGCTTGAGATAATCTAATACAAGGTCCAAACAAAAGCCATTTTTGAATAATTTGTTTATACTTTGTATCACCCAAATTTCCATTTAACCAAAATCATGTCCAATACCAATAGCAAGACAATATTATCTGCTGTGGCCTCTCTTGCAGCCTCGGCTATGCTGATGCGAAGCATCGCCAATGAATTCATTCCTCATCAAGTCATAGACTTTTTTCATTCAGGAATTCACAATCTTTCTCGTCAATTCTCTACCCAACTCACTATTGTCATTGAAGAATTTCAAGGGATGTCCAAAAACCAAGTTTTTGAGGCTGCAGAAGCCTTTCTAGGAAATAAAGCCACTCTCTCAGCACACAGGGTTAAAGCAAGCAAATCAGAGAATGATAAAAAGTTATCATTTGGTGTAGATAGAGATGAAGAAGTGAATGATGAATTTGAAGGCGTAAAAGTAAGGTGGAAATTTATATGCATACATACTGAGTCTTCTAGTAATAGTCATCATGATATGAATGCTTCTTTAAGGTCAGAAATAAGGTACTATGAGCTAAGCTTTCACAAGAAACACAAGGAGAAAATCTTCACTTCATATTTGCCATATATTTTGGAGAGAGCCAAGGCTATCAAAGAAGAGAACATGGCAGTGAAGCTTCACACGATTGATTATGGATGTTATTGGGATCAAAATGGTGTCAAATTTGATCATCCCATGACTTTCAAAACTCTTGCAATTGATGGAGAGCTTAAGAGGGAAGTGGTGAATGACTTAGACAAGTTTGTGAAGGGAAAAGAGTTCTATAAAAGAACTGGCAAAACTTGGAAACGTGGTTACCTTTTGTATGGTCCTCCTGGCACTGGCAAGTCTAGTCTTATTGCTGCTATGGCATGTCATCTCAACTATGATATATATGACTTGGATCTTACGGTTATCAATGACAATAATGAATTAAAGAAATTGATCCTTGGCATGTCCAACCGTTCTATACTTGTGATTGAGGATATTGACTGTAGTATAAAGCTTCAGAACCGAGAAGAAGCTGAGGATGCATCTCAAAATGGAGACAATAAGGTCTGTGTTTCTATTCAAACATGCCATTCATCTCAAAAGCTTTGTCTCAATCTTTTCATTACAAAGAGACAGAGTATATATGGATAATAACAATAAGTATGAGTATTATAAAGATATGTTTGGGTTTAGATACATTTTTGGTCCCTGAAGATTTATTTTGAGGTTTTAGTTTTTGCTATAAACAATGTGAGATTATATGAGAAATAGTAATGACATATTCTTCAAAAATTAATTTATTGAATAAGTATTTTGATTTTTAAAAACGTGATCCATTACTAGGAATGCATTAAAAAATGTGTTTAAGGAAGTTCATTGATAAAAATTTTCGTCATAACATATAGCTTTCAAGAGACAACCATCAAAACAGTTGTTACATTAAAGTAAAGACTAAACCTAAATAGAATGAAACTATAGACTCCAGAACCTAAAACAGTGAGACTAGAGATATAAAACTTAAACTTTTGAAATAAAGGGTCTAAATAAATGGAAATAAGTTATGGGGAGAAAAATGTATTCAAACCTTACATTTCAATGTATGCATCCATCTAGCCACCAAGTTAACATCATCCACATGCTCGCAACTGCATACTATTTTGTTCAATCCAAATTTATATTAAAAATAAACAAGTTATTTAGTTACCAGGACTTTGTAACTGGTGACATAATTGTGATTTTGTCTCATGTTTGTTTATCATTATTGAACAGGTGACACTTTCAGGACTTCTGAACGTTATAGATGGTCTTTGGTCATGCTGTGGGGAGGAACGCATCATTATTTTTACAACCAATCACAAAGAAAGACTTGATCCAGCTCTGCTAAGGCCTGGCCGAATGGACATGCATGTTCACTTGTCATACTGCAACTTTTCTGCTTTTGAGCAATTGGCCTTCAATTACCTTGGAATTTCTCAACACAAACTCTTTGAACAGATTGAAGGGCTTCTAAATGAAGTTCAAGTGACTCCAGCTGAAATTGCAGGAGAGCTAATAAAGGTTGCTGATGTTGGAGAGTGCTTACAAGACATTGTCAAATTCCTCTACAAGAAGAAAATGTTGCAGGGCAAGACTCAAATTGAACAGAATATAAAGGAAGATCATGAAATAGGAGAAGAAAAGTTATGATATAAAATTGATCAAATTTCACAAACTTACCATGATAGCTGTTTTAGGATAAATTAATTTTTATTACTTTATGCTTCCACAAAACCAAATGACCAATGGCTCAGCTATTAACCAGATAATAATATCAGCAATACACTCTGCACCTCACTTTTTTCTTTATGAGAAATTGATATTTTATAATGGGGAGTGTGATATAATTAATCTATTTAATATTGAAGACATTAAATAGATTTTACAAAAACTTAAGCTTAAATAGACCAATTTACCCTTACTTGAGCGGCACTCTTGAAAAGAGCTTCGACAGGAAATAGTGAATGGAAAAACTTTCGGCGAGAAGGCAGCCCACCTTTTTATCAACCTTCCCATAAAAAGTTGTAAATTGAAAGCTTCGTGGAAAGAGTAGCATTTAGCAAGAACAGGTCAATGTCTCATTTGATTCAAAAACTAGGGGAAAAAAATATTTGTTTTAAATAAATACATTTACTTTGTGAAACAATAAATATATTCACTGTTGGTTAATTAGAAAGGGGAGAAATGATTGAGAATCAATGGAAATCTCAAAGTCATGAGAAAATAAAAATCTACTAAAAACATTCGTGCATTGCATGATATTTTTAAATTTAATTAAAATTGTAAATAAGAAATAAATAAATAGTATATATTTATTAATAATAATTGATATTTATTAAAAATAAATAAATTAAGAGATAATACTTTTGAAACTGATAAAATATCATCAAAATAAATTATTTAAATTAAAACACATAATTTCTTATTAAAATTAAAATTTTTAAAATTAAAATTCTCTAAAATTATAATATGACAATCTTAAATTTTAATTTACATAAAAATATATTTAATTGTTATTCTTTTTTGTTTAAACTACAGAGTTCTTTGATAGAGATAATTTTATTTAAGTCAAGTAAAACTCGAATAAAACCCATTCGTTGAGTATTTAATTAAATATATTTACTAGAATTTAAATTTAAAATTATATATTAAAAAGACATATCTTTAATTTGATATAAAATGAATAACATAATTTATAGACTTGTTTGATCAAAATAAATGCATATGATAAACAAGTTATATTGCTTGAGTTTTTATTTTTTTATAATTTTTAGCATCTATACTTTATTAAATTTATCGTTTACCATCTCTTATAATACTATACTACTTATTTTAATTATTATCCTATTTAATTTAATTTTTAATAAAACATTTATTTTCAAACAAAAATTATAGGAGCTCAAAATTAACTCGAAAGATCTAAACTATAAGTGCCTAAAAAAATTGTTTGTCTAGAAATAAAAAATATATAAGCAAATTATTTTATATCATTTAATATCTATCTATCAATTCAATATCTAATTTTATTAAATATCTCTAATTTAATAAATTAGTTGATATATTTTAACTAAAAATTAGTTTTATTTATTTATTTATTTATTTATTTTTACAAACATAGTGTATCGAGAATCAAATTTTAAAATAATTTTAAATTAGAATTATTTAATTTAAGTAATATCATTTAAAAGAAAAAAATTATAAAATTTAAAATTTAATAATCAATGTAGAAAAAGTTACGTGACTTAATTTAAAAAACAAAATACTCTTAAAAGCCCTCTCATTTTTAAGCGATGGTTTAGCTTTATAACATATGATTAGATTATATACCAATTAAAGAAGAAAGAAAATGACATTTTGTATATTATATTAACTATCTTGATTTTTTTTCATATTTGAATGAAAATTAGATAATTAACTAAGAATTAATAGAAATGTAAAAAATGAGAAACACTTAATTTTAAAAGTAAAGGTCTGGAAATATCAAATCATTAACAATTTTTATTTTTATTTTTAACATTATTAATTGCACAGTTATAAAATTATGGGACCCCAAAATATTTTAGTCAAGGCCCTTGCTTTGGTCTTTTGATAAAGCCAACCCTCACATAGAAGGAAATGAAGCTGAAATTTCCAACTGAAAATGTCATTATACATGATAGGCCCTACCCAGGAAAAATGAAAGAGGTTTCATAGAAATGTCTTGGTGACTTGACAACCCAAAAAAAGTGAACATAGGTCCTAATCTTTACTATAAAGTTGAATACTAAACTAAGCATAGTACATACTTCAACCTCCAAACAAGCTTCATTTGTGAACAATTTGCCTAGTATCACCCCTTCTTTCATTTAGTGTCTGTTTACACGTTCAAAAATCTCACACACAATCAAAACCATGTCCAACATTTTGCCAAACAGAAAATTCATGTCAAATAGTACTGCACTTATATCTGCAGTGGCATCTCTTGCAGCCTCAGCTATGCTAATCAGAAGCATTACCAAAGACTTCATTCCTCTTGAAGTCCAAGAATTTTTTTCCTCCCAAATCCATTATCTTTCTCATAAATTTTCCTCTCAACTCACCATTGTGGTTGAAGAATTTCAAGGGATGTCTAGAAACCAAGTTTTTGAGGGGGCACAAGTCTATCTAGGCACTAAAGCCACTCTCTCTGCTCTAAGAGTTAAAGCAAGCAAATCTGAGGATGATAAAAATCTAGCATTCAGTGTAGATAGAAATGAAGAAGTGAGTGATGAGTATGAAGGAGTTCAAGTAAGGTGGAAACTTAGCTGTGAAGTTGTTGAGTCTAATGGTACTAGACATTCTAATGACATGAATGCCTCTTTAAGGTCAGAAGTAAGATCCTATGAGCTAAGCTTTCACAAGAAACACAAAGAGAAGATATTCAATTCATATTTACCATTTGTGTTGGAGAAAGCCAAGGCTATTAAACAAGAGAACATGGCAGTGAAACTTCACACAATTGAATATGATTGTTATTGGAATGGACATGGTGTTACATTTGATCACCCTATGACTTTCAAAACTCTTGCAATTGATGCTGAGCTTAAAAGGAAAGTGGTGAATGATTTGGACAAGTTTGTGAAGGGTAAAGAGTTCTATGTAAGAACTGGAAAAGCTTGGAAACGTGGTTACCTTTTGTATGGCCCTCCTGGCACTGGCAAGTCTAGTCTTATTGCAGCCATGGCCAATTATCTCAACTATGATATCTATGATTTGGATCTCACCGTTGTCCATGATAATAAGGACTTGAAGAATTTGATCCTTGGCATGTGCAACCGTTCCATACTTGTGATTGAGGATATTGATTGCACCATAAAGCTGCAGAACCGACAAGAACAAAAGGAAGCAGTTAAAAATGAAGACAATAAGGTTTGTGTTTTTTTATAATATATAATTCATCTAAAATGTTCAGTCTGGACTTTTATACCAAACAGCCAAAGGGATACACTAAAGTAGAAAATATTTAGAAGGTAACGAAGATTAATCTATTTAAGATATATTTCAATCTTTGTGCATCCGATCCATTTCTGTCCATATTAACAATCATTTAAGAAGGCATTTGCCATGTATAATCTTTTTTCATTTCTGAAAATTATGACCTTTGGGATCATGTTTTATGAAATAATATTTTTAGGAATATTATAAATGTATTTAATAGATATTCTTAAAAATATTTTGATGAATATGATTATAACTTTTCTGCTTTCCTAGAAATCTTATCACCTCTTTCAGAGGAATATTTTGTTGAGAAGCGTAATTAAAAAGACATTCTTACACATGTTTGTTTTTAATAAATATTTTTCGAATTATTCGTATTAAATATAAGAATCCAACATTTATGCCTTCTAATTTTTAAGCTTGTCAGTTGTCACTTAAAATTAAAAAAAAAAGTTCTCGTACCAAACTAGAACTGTCACTTAGCACATAATACTCTTTTGGTCATGTCAAGTTCAAGAAGTTGAGAACATTATTTCCAAGACTTTGTAAATGGTTACATGATTTCAACTTTGTCTAATGTTAATTTGTTCATAATTTTCCAACCAACAGGTGACACTTTCAGGACTATTGAATGTTATAGATGGTCTTTGGTCATGCTGTGGAGAGGAACGCATCATTGTTTTCACAACCAATCACAAAGAAAGGCTTGATCCAGCTCTGCTAAGGCCTGGCCGAATGGACATGCATTTTCACTTGTCATACTGCACTTTTTCTGCTTTTGAGCAATTGGCCTTCAATTACCTTGGAATTTCACAACACAAACTCTTTGAACTAATCGAAGGGCTTCTAAGAGAAGTGAATGTGACACCAGCAGAAATTGCAGGAGAGTTAACAAAGAGTATCGATGCTATAGACCCCCTTCAAGACCTTGTCAAATTCCTACACGACAAGAAAATACTGGGACTAGCCAAAAATGACCATAATGTCAATGAAAATCATGAACAAGGTGGAGAAAAGTAATGTTACACGGACAAATATGTCAATATTATTTTCCAATGAATCGTGGTAGTAGGTAAGCTGTAAGCGTGTTATATAACAGTTCTGATTTATAAAAACAATACCACACAATATTCCTCATGTCTCTTCAACGAATCATGGTAGTGGGTAAGTATATTATATGTCAATTTCCTCATGATGAGTGACACCTTTTTTGCTTCAATGGTTGTGTACAGCCTTGCAAAAACTGGATTCACAGAATTTAAATTCCTCAACTACAGAGCAACATATTCTAGTACAGCTTTCTTCATTACCTATATAACTAATTTTATTAATGTTAAGATTTAATATTGATATTTACTGAATTTATACGTGTAAAAATTAAAAAAATATAAAAAATACCTATTTTTATTATAATGTTAAAAAATTTAATTTGAAAAATCAAACTCATTCTATCCTTACTTAACTTATTTTAAAATATAAATTAAATCAAATAAATTGTTTAGCGAATGAATCTAACATTAGAATCTTGAGTTGGGAAAGAATAAGTTAAAAAATTAAGATGGAAAATAATATTTTAAAAGTTTAATTATATTTCTTTTTGTTTCTACAAGTGTATTACTCTATGAAAGTAGTTTTTAAAAAATTTGTTAAGATTTATTCTTTGATATTTTAAAAATGTTTAGAATTAATTTCTAACGTTCTGTAAATAATAAGCTAAATATCATAACTCTAACTCATCATTGCTCCATTATTTAATTATTTTAAATATTTAATTTTACCAAAAAAACTTTAAATTTGGAATGTTTTATTTCTTTTTTTAAAATAAAAAATTATTTTTAAAAAGAGAAACAAACATGTTTTTAGTTTTTTTTTTCTCTTTCTCTCTTTTCTTTTTTTCTTGCAACATCTAACAACATCTAAACACTTGTATTAGAGTGATTATGTTGCAAGCAACAATCTCAACATAAAAAATTTTAAGGTTCATTCTTTATTTTAGAGCTTCACAAGAAATTTTCGGATTTATTATTTTAACAAAGTTATTAATTTTTTATGATAAAATACTTATAAATATAGGATTAAAATTAAAATTTTATCATCTCAAGTTCAAGATGATAAATAGTTTTTATAAATTAAAATATAAAAAATATTTTTAACAAAAATATAATTGCTAAAATTTAAATTTGGATTTTTTAGTTATAATATTCTTATTTACTATTTTATATTTATCAGTTAACTTAATAATTAGTTTTTTCTAACTTTGATGAACTAGTTGTTAGTTTTGCCAAACATACCTTTAATATATTTTTTACAATTACAATAATAGTATTATGATTTTTATTTTTCCAAATAACATAGCAAATGAACCTAATAGTTTACTAAATTTGGAAGAAGGGCTCCTAAGGTTTTTCTGAATTAGTTGTACACCTCAACAAAACGGGTGGAAGAAAAGCAAAAGGAGAAATAGTCATTCTCCCTCTAAATATAGGGAACCCCATAACTACCACACAAGTTAATGGACTAAGTTTGATGCATGCACCTATAAAACCATTTGATGGCATCCCTTTCTCTCATCACAAGGGGAGGAATATCATTAACCATTAACCATTAACATTTACCAAATTACAATGGAAAAGTCATTTGCCGTTGCCCTCCTTGTTTCTGCTTTCTGTTTCTCTTCTGCATTGGCTCGTAACACACCTGCTGATTCCAATGATACGTTTTTCGTTGAAGGCAAGATTTATTGTGATCCTTGCCGCTTCGAATTCGAGTCCAGACTTAGCTACCCATTGGCAGGTAAACAATCAACACACACTTTTTCTTTAATATATCTATACGAGTTGATCAAATCTGATGATAAAAAGTGCCATACTTAACGCTTACACTTTTTGATAACTTTTTATATATGTATATGCAGATGTGAAGATTACTTTGCAATGCACGAAGGAAGAAAGTGATAACGTGATATTGGTGAAGGAGGCCAAAACCGACGCAAATGGCAAATATAGCATTCCTGTGGATGGTGATCACGAGGAAGAGAGATGTATGGTGACTGCTGAGGCACCTACTGAAGGGAAGTGCAAGAGTAGCATGACAATCAAGTCTGATAGAATTCTGTTGACCACCAACATGGGTGTCTCTTCCTTGGCTCGCTATGCCAATCCCCTTGGGTTCATGACACAGACAGCTGATCCACAATGTTCCTCAGTTGTCTCCGAGTTGGAATTAGACAAATTTGATGACTAAGTGCAAATTTCATGTGATCAAACGTCAACTGTCATGTGTCCATTGTAGCCATTCTCCAAATGTGTTGTTCATTCTGTTTAACCATACAAGCTCATGATGTTATTATTTGTTAAACGTTTGATCAATAAGAATTTTCGGAGTTTGGTATCTGACTTTTGCATCGTTGTTTGTGGTTTCAGAAATCAGTATTTTCTTTTCCTTTTTTTTTCCAGCTTTATGCTTTCCTTTTTTCTTTTTAATTAACCCCATATTTTCAAATTAGAAGCCAACAAATAAAAAATAGAGAAAATAAAAAAGAGAGGTGAAGATGTGGGTAGATTGCATGTTCAGTTTGATCAGCGTTAATCCAACGCAGATCCCAAGTACGTTTTCTAATTTTAAGTATATATTATATAATTAAATGTTTTTACTCACCCTCTAATTAACGAAAAATAACAACCAGCAAATTTATATCATCGGTAGTTTGGACCGTTGGTGTGATAAATAATGAATAATTTTTAATGACTTTTTTATTTTATAAAAGTTGCCAACCACATTTTAGAGAAAGCAAATCTTGATCAGCCTCTCTCTAACTCTTTTTCAAAATTTACTTATTTTAAGCAAATTTAAATTAGAAACGCTAAAACTATAAAAAAATTTGAATCCAATTTTTATGCAAATAAAGTAAAAGTACTTATCAACAAAATATTAATGATAATAGATTTAAAAATTTGAAAGAAACTTGTCAAAAGTCCACAATTTACAAAAGCAATGGAGTAAATAAGTAAATAATGATGGCTAAAAATAACTTTTGATTCGTAACTATTCTTCATCAGAGAGAATCATATTCAAGTTAAATACAAGTCAAAACAACCCTTAAAATATATATATATATATATATATATATAATATTATTATAATAATTAATTTTATATTTAAAATGAAAATTTTATCTTTAAAGTAATTGGTAAAAATCAATAAATAATTTTTTGTTAGAAATTACAATAAAGTTATATTAAATAAGATGGCTGTTTCTTGTTAGTAACATATTACAAAAAAAAATTATTTTCATTCTTCAATGAGTAAATCTGTTCTGAATTATATTAAATAATATATTATAAATAATTGAGTCAGAAATATTTTTACAATTTTTTTATGTAAGTAAGAAATTTAATTTCACGTATATTTAAACTTTAAAATATAACACATTGTATATTGTTCCTGTTAAGGTAATCCGGGTCTTCAAGTCTCTGTTCTGACGCGCTGACGTTTCTTTAGCCATTGTTGACGTGAGAGAGTACCTGCAAAAAGCACTCTGATGTTGAAGTCAAGATTTGGTTCTGAGCAATAAATGCTATTTAATAATGAAAACTCAACCATTTACCTGTACTTTTACCTTCCTTATGTAGGCACTATAATGGGTCTGTCGAGTCAGTCTTCATTTTAACTCGTTATTTAAAGTAAATAATATCTTAATTATTACCCTTAATTGAGTTAATTACCTTTTAATCCCGACGAGGAGTATCCGGCCTATTCGATATAATAGATACTCAATTTTCTTTTCGTACAAGTTGGACCAAGTTGATTTTTATCTAGTACATATAGTATTATGTTTGAAAAAAATTGTAGAATTTCACACACACATATATATATATATATATATATATATATATATATATATTGAAATACATATATACCATTTCAAATTTGTTAATAGTTATTATCTAGGCAATGCTTTTCAAATCTTTTTCGCAAGTACGTGTAACCTTCCCCCACATGACTATTTTTTCCTTGGAAAAATAGTCAACAATAGAGTTTTACGTTAAATAGGTCTCATGAATCAAAAGTTATAACTTTCTTATGTACACAATTAAAATTTTATATTATATGTAATATCGTACATAATTATTTTTATCATACATACATATATATATATATATATATATATATATATATATATTCTAAAAATACATCTTAAAACACAGAAACGTAACACTTAAATTGTATCCTCTTCAAGTGTTCATAAAATATTTCTCTAAAAATTATTCTATGTTAAATCATATTTAAATTTATTAATTATATTAAACTTAATCCTTATAATTTATTTTAAATTTTTTAAAAATAATTATTTAATATATGTTAAAATCACAAGATAAATATATATATATAACATTTTTTTATTAAAAATATAATATATTACAAAGTTCAATACATTAATAGTATTAAGTGGTATAATCTTTAATAAAAAAAAAACTATTTTCATTCTTAATCGTTTGTTATTTTAACTTTGACAAATATCAACGTGTGTCTTTAAAGTATTAGTTAATCAACTAAAAATAAAATATTTTTGGTCTTAAAATATAATGAATAATTTTTTTATAATTTTTTAATAAAAAATTTTTGTTTTATTTTTTTAATCCATATCCTAAAAGTACTGAATAATAATATGTATTTTTTTAGTTTTTTTAATTTTATTATTTTATATTTTCATAACGTAATATTTTTCTTGAGTAAACTTTCAATTTATTTTCTTAAATATGGTAAAGCTAGACGTCAAAATTTAAAATTTTAACTTCTAAACTAATAATCATTAATTATGTTATTCCTTACCTATAAGAGATGTTAAAATTAAGTAATAAAAGAATAATTTGTTACATTATGTAAAGTTTATTATAGACAAAGAACAATATCGTTTAAAATTTTTTAAAAAATAATTTATTTTTGTCCCTAACTTTTAATATTTTTAAGTAATAAAGTCCATATTTTACCTTCTTCCTTATAATATCTTTTTTTTTTCTTGAACCATTACTGCAACGATGTTCCTTTCTTCTATGATGTCTTATTTGTTTTTTAACATTGCATAGCCTTGTTTTCCCTTTCTCTTCATAATTCTCTCTTTTATTCAACCCAATATCACATGTTTTCTCTTCTAAACACAACTCAATATGTTCAAATTCTCATTAACTCAAATCTCATCTCTCAACCACCTCTTTCTCTTCATGCCACACCTACCAAAATCACATTCAAATTTAACCTTTCTGTCAATTCACTCCACATCCCACACTCATTCTGACTCATAGTCCTTTTGACCCCTCTAATGCCACCTTTTCTAATTATGAAAAATTATCCTCTGACTTCAACAAAACTGGTTGCTACCATGCCTCCTTTTCCTTATCTAATTTGTTTAAAACCTTTATGAAATCATGCAAGCTTGAGGTTTTGATTTAGTGGTTCAGGTAATAAAATCCAAAATAAAGGAGCTTTATAGCATGAACGTCATTGTAAGGGTGACTAGAGGAAAGAAAAACACACCATAGAAAAAGTGCAAAGTGAAAGACAAGCAAGATACCTCATTACTAATTTCATTGACCTTTCAACCCCTCTAGTGCCACCTCTTCTAATTACAGAAAATCATCCTTCGACTTCAATAAAATTAGTTATTATTGTATCTTATTCCTCATCCAATTTGTTTAAAACCTTCACTAACCAAAACTTGTAGGCTCAAGGTTTTGATTTGGTGGTTTAGGTGATAAAACTCAAAACAAAAGAATTTTATAACATGACATTGTAGAGGTAGCTGGAAGAAGGAAGAAAATACCATTGAAGAAGGTAAAACAGAAGGGTGGAAAAGACTTTATTGTCAAAAAATATTAAAAGTCACGGACAAAAATAATTAAAAAATAATGTCATTTTTTTGTTCAAAATAAACTAATAACTTAATGTGACATATAATCACTTTATTACTCAATTTTAACATCTTTAAATGATAATTGCTAACTTTATATATTAAAATTTTAAATTAAAAAATTGATTTGAATAATGTTACATATTTTAGATATTAAAGTAAATATTTACTCTCTTTTTTTCTTCTGTGCTCGGAATGTCAAATTGACTTGACTTGATGAGTCACTTGCCTAACCTATTAAAAATGGTAGGCCAAGTTAAATGCTTTAGACCCATTAGCCTGCTCAAACTATCTTAATTTAACTTGACAAAATGCAAGTTAATGTAGGTTAAACCAAACTTACACATTGAGTCTCTTTTTAATTTTAAAAAATAAAAAATAATCATTTTATTAATTAAATATTAATATAAAAATAATATATTTATTAATTTTAAATGGGTTGACTCATTAATTCATTGGCTCACTATGTATACCAACCTCACTTTTTTTTTCCTTTTTTTTTTGGTCTCGGACAAGCTAGTCTTTTAACCCACCCTTAAACAGATTGAAATAAAAAATTTAATTTATTTTCTAAACAAGGTAGGAGCAAATTAAGGTAGGCTGACATGTGTTTAACACTCATGTATACCCTTATTTAATTGTAAAAAATTAAAGAAAAGTAAATAAAATAATTGAAAAATAATAAAAATATTAGAGTGAAAATATGATAATATATTACATTAATTGCATATTCTTTAATCTAAAGATTTTAAACAATAAAATATAAAATATTATTTATTAAAATTTTATTAAATATTTTTGAAACCATTAATTTTTTTTCTAAATTATGCCTATTTTTATTCTGTTAAATATGTTTTTAATAAATAATTGTATTTAAAATTCAGGTTAAATTACACACATACATATATAATTAAACATTAATTTATTAATACAAAATTTTACGACATTAAACTTATAAAATTTATATTTGTCAGAAGTTGTTAACGATGTTAAATTATTATGGTTTTTCTTTTAATTGTTTATTAAAAATTTTACAAATAAAAGCAGCTATCACGAATATGTTTTGTTGAGCTTTGTTGTCGTTTGTGTTTGTGAGAGAAAGTTCTCTCTGTGACTCAAAACCCTATTGCGTGCTTTGCAATCGACCCCGATAATGGCGAACAGTAATCTCCCTCGAAGAATCATCAAGGTTAGTATCCATTTTCTCGTTAAGATCCCCATTTCAATTTCTCTGATCGATGCCAAATCCAAGGGAACTCAAAATCTGTTCATATTAACTTTCTCTGTTAATTTTTTTAGTATCACGTAGCCCAATAGTTTGACTGAACAAAGAACTTCAATTTCGATTTAGGGTCAATTTCAAAACGGTTCCCCTTTTCACTTTAACCCTCCTTAATTTAAGTGACGGTGACGAAAATAAATGAAAGTTTTTGGCGCTGAATCGGGGATTCAGCTCCTCTTTTTATTTGTTTTAATCTTAGCTGGCATCAGATTTTGTAGTTCTGGTTTTTCTTTGTTCCGTGTTTGAATTTGATCCTTGTGAATGTTTTGTTCACTCTTGTTTTGATCTCAACAGGAAACGCAGCGTTTGCTTAGTGAGCCAGGTAACTTGTTATTCTCGGTTCCTCTTTGTCGTTGCACACTTAATTTGAAATATCCGGTGATCGTGTGGTGCATTAGAAGCTTGCCGGGAGTTAAATGGGTAGTGCTTGTTGTGTCTCTTGTTTTTTGGGGCTTTTCTTAAGGAGTATTTTGTAAGATACCTTGAATCAAATGTTACCTTATGTAAGGGTTACATCATTGTTGTTTTTATTCTACCGAGTTAATTGTTTCCGTGTCTCTTTTATGATTCGATGATGCAGCGCCTGGAATTAGTGCATCCCCTTCGGAAGACAATATGAGATATTTCAATGTGATGATCCTTGGCCCGACCCAGTCACCTTATGAAGGTAGTATTGAACCCAACGGCTTGGTTTTGGCCCTTGAAATGCATTGTGATTTGATGCCTCAGCTAAAAAGAGTGTTAAATTCTGTTTGATTTGGGTGCTTTTAAAGTAGTGCGTTGACATTTTCTATTAACAATTATGCTCTACAATCATAGAATCAAATATATTTTGCAAATGTTTCTGAAAGGGTATTACTTACAGTTTTTGACTGAAGTTTCCATTATAATTGTATCTTTTTATATCTGTAATTTTATCCTAGCAGTCTTACCACATTTGGCCTGGTTTCATAAAAGGTTGGTCTGTTAGTAATTTTGTTGTCACAATCCGTGTAAATAATGATGAGGCAGAAATTGGAATATTAGTTCATATTGTTATAATCACTAATACCTATAGATTTTTTTGCTTCTAGAAGCTATCTTTTCTTATCATCATGAGTTCAAGCCCCATTCTCCACCTGAATCTTGGACTATATAGAAGTGCATTATCTTGGTGCATGTTTTTCCCTTTATGTTTATGGCTGACCAGAGAATAGTTTTTACCATTTACGTCATATTTCCAGTTTCCACCTCATATATAATCAGTTGCTATAGGTTGCCACCCTTGTGCATCAAGAAACTGCTTTATGGTTCCTTTCTAGCTGCCTGCTTAGGTTCACTTTCTATTAGAATACCTAAAAACAGTCACCTTTCTACAAAAGCATTTTTGGTGACCAAACTAAATTCTTGTCATTCATTTTATAAGCAATGCTTTTGATCTAGGAACCACTAACACTTCAAATGGTTGCTATAATGGTCAGATACATAGGTATTTTCTGATACCATGATGATTAAAATTTAGATATATTATACATTGTTGTGTGTACAATGAATAATACTGACTCAATATTAATGTCTGTCCTAAGGTTTGTGTTTTTATGTTCATACTATATTAATTTTATATGTCGTATCTTAGCTGGGTTATGTCAGGTAATTTTTACAATTTACTGCATCTATGTCCCATATTTGTGTCCTATGTGTGTATCCATACTTCCTAGATTTCCATTTAATTGATTCTGCTAATCAGTTCCCAGTGGAAATTTGATATACTTATTTCTTTATAACCTCTTCAACTAAAGTGATTTTCTGCCCCAAGTGGTTGCTTTTGGAGGTTGAACACTAGAATAAATTGACTTGAACGAAAAGAGAAAATTAGATAAAAGATTGAGTCGAATAAATGGATGGTTCCATGCTCTAATTGTAGCAAGTGTGTTCATCTATTTTACTTTAGTTTCCTTTTTTTGGCTTCTTCTTGTTGAAAGCTATAGTGTGGTCCTCTCCACACATAAAGAGTAGGGTGGTTTTGGTCATGCAAGAAAATTGAATGTTGAAACACATGACTAGAATTATTATAGAAGATTATGCTCTCTTCACCTTTTTTTATTAAATTAAGAATAGAATTGGGCCTTCTGAATGGTGCACATTTATAGAGTAAATGCAGAATTGCTAATCATTAACAAAGAAATTCAACTGCTTATGTTTTTATAGAATACAAGCAGCTATAAACAAACCATTGAATTGTTGATGTGATAAAACCACTCCTTTCATTTTTGCATTAGCGGTTAATATTCTGCACTTTCCTATAAAGTACAGTAGTGCGCCTTGCAGTTGGAATGTGTTGCCAGAGTGCTTCATGTGTCACTGGGTGATATATGGTACTCCCATGCGTGGTGCAGGCCCCTACCTATAGGCACCCTGATATCCTATGCCTAGCTTGATGATACTGATTTTTTTTATTGCCCCAACCTTGATAGTGTCTCATGTTTTCTCTAATATGCAAGATTTTTGTCTATATTATCAGGGGGAGTATTCAAGTTAGAATTATTTTTACCAGAAGAATATCCAATGGCTGCTCCAAAGGTACTTAATTTAATTGTTGTTTACATTTTGTCAATATGTATTGTGGTATTTATTTGGTGTTAATTCTTAAGATCTCTTGAGTTGTTTTCCACCTAAAAGAAATGTCAATATAAATTATTTTTACCTGTAAATTGTTTTAATTCTGTTTATTTGCTTTTTGGCATCTAATGATTAGGACTACCCGACTACTATTAATGTCATGGGGTAGGATATTCTGAAAACTTGCATTAAGAACAGCGTCATGGTCCAAACTCCAAAGTCCAAACTCAGCCTTGTCCATGTCTTATCTTGTTGAAACTGAAACATTATTGTAAACAGTTTTAAATACATTGTCCTTTTTATTTATCAATGTAATGGAAATATTTTCTCCAAAGGTTGGGGTGGATTAATTATTCAACTTTCTAGTACAGTCTGAGATTAAGTCTTGGAATTTATTTTAGCACATTTTGGAGCCATTACTAATTCCAGGCCAGGGTTTAGGGAAAGTGCATTCTTACAGCTCTTCTGTGCATCTGATGGGGGTTAATATTGGCCAAGAGGGTCCAATGGGCTTTTTTTCCTTTTGTTTTCAAGGATAATATAATAATATCTATCCATTTCATAATTATGTGGTTATTCAGTTTTCTATTTTTTTGCTGGCTAATTTTGGTTTTATTTTTAAGATAATAATACCTTGTGGATGGACTTGTTCAGTACATTTTTAAAAAACAATCTCCAATCATTTCTAATTAAACTATGCATTGCTTCTTCCAGGTTAGGTTTCTGACAAAAATTTATCATCCAAACATTGATAAGGTACACTTCACTTTCCCTTAACATTTTTTTTTCATTTCTTCCTTGGTAATAACTTTTCTTATAAGTTGGAGTTTAATGCCAGCTTGGCAGGATATGTCTTGACATTCTCAAGGACAAGTGGAGTCCTGCCCTTCAGATTCGCACTGTACTTCTGAGGTATATTTAACTTTCATTCTTTACTCTACTGGATGTATATTGATATACATATTATTTGCTGAAGAAATGCGGCAATCTGTGTAATGTAATGATACTCATATAGGGAAATAGAGATAGGCATTTATGTAGATTTATGAGTCTAAGAGTATAATTTTTAAATTTAATTTGTATATTAGTCACTTTTCTGGAAGATATTTTGTTTGGTAAAATTGTATTGAAAAAAAGGATTAAAGGTACTAATTGATAGGCCCAGATTTTTAAAACCATTAATATTCTGCTTTACCACATATAAGAAAAAGGAGAGAGGAGAGGGGAGAAGAGACCCGAGCATTTGTTTGTGGTTGCTGAGTCAATTTGTATGTTAGTCTGTCTGGATCTTGGTTTTGATTACTGGAGTACCTGCCCCCTGGTGTGGCCACCATGTGTGACAAGTCAGTGAGAAATATTAAATTAGCCTGCTCTTAATTGGAAAGGGTATTTTGTACTAATAATGTGAATTTGGTGGGTTCTCTTCCAGTATTCAAGCCCTTCTAAGTGCACCAAACCCAGATGATCCACTTTCTGAGAACATTGCCAAGCATTGGAAATCTAACGAGGCCGAGGCTGTGGAAACAGGTATGTCTTTTCTGTTTGTACGATTACATCAAAATTAGTTGTTATTTGTTAATGATGGCCTCAAACATTCTATATGCATACTCTCTTATGAAAGTGGGGTGGTATTTGATTTGCAGCCAAGGAATGGACCCGGTTATATGCTAGTGGTGCCTGATGATTGTGTGGACACTTTTGGCCTCAAATAACTATAGTGGAAGTGTATGCTATTAACTCTCAAATTGAAATGGAAATTTGGAGGAATTGTCTGAACTATTTTGGATTTAATATTCCTCAATAGCTTCCGGTTACCTGTTGATTGCTTTCTTTCTCTTGGAAGCCTTATCTTGGAACTTGTATTAATACATGTTATCTTTTTTGTGTCAAAAATTTTAAACATCCTTCATCTTCCAACTTCTAAGCAATTTGGGATCATCAAACTTCATAATAAAAAAAATTCCAAATAAGTTTCTTTTGGTTTGTCCCCCATTTCCTTGAATTCATATTTAATATGGTAGGTTGTGTAATCATGAATTATCTTCACGCGTATACATTTGAACAAGGCTAATCAAGATTAGAATTATAAAATTTAACATGACTGGATTTTGTGGAGATATAGATAACAAGGTCCTAAACATACTTTAAGCCAGACCTTATTTGGGGTTATGTCTTTCTTTACTCACAAGATCATGTGAAAAAAAATTAAAAAACTGAAGATATATTCCTGTCTTAAATAAATCACGAAATTTAAGTCTTCTGAATCTCAATTTTCTGTTCATTATCGACTGATATTTGTAGATTTTAGGTGTATTTAGAGGACAACTTTATTAAGTGTTTATTAATTAAATTATTGCATAGGGGATTTATTGACATTTGTTGAAAAGAATTTACAGTAGTTATGAAGTATTTTTATAAGTTATTTTAAACATTTTTGTAATACTAGTGTAGGGTGTTGTTACTATGTAACTATAGCGTAAGCATGCGTGCAGCAGCAAGAACATAATAGGATTTACGCATTGAGGACCATGGGGTAGAATTTTAAGGGCAACGGTCAATTAATTGAGAAACAGGCGAAAGCCAATTTAAATAATATGACTTGAGTACTAGAAGAAAAAGGATAGTTTTTTTAATAAATATTTTCTAAATTAATAATTCTTAAAATAAAAGATAAAGTGATGGATTAGTATATTCATATTTATTTAATTCTATAAATATTTTTTTCAAAATTAAAGGTGAAAAACCTCTCTTCCTCATTTTCCTTAATAACATTCAGATAAATCTTTCGGACATATTTGGTGGGAGTTAAGTGTTGAAAGAAAATGAAACTAAGATACATTTTTAAATTTTTATAAATAATCCTCAAAATTACATATTTTAATGCATTAGTTTTTATAGTTTTATAAATATTATATATTTCTTAATTTAAAATTAAAACATTTGTTTTCTTGCCCTCTTTCGGTTTTAAAACTTAACTTCCAAACATACCTTCAAAACTTAATTATTAGAAAGTTTTGGCGGTGAGCGAAAATGTCTTTCTTGTCTATTGGACCAATAGGATTGAAGGATTTAAGGTTAAGCTGAAGTTAATTATTGATCATCCTCAATTATTTGGTACGTGAAGAATACTCCATTCGATTCCTTAATTTCGCGTAAGAGGTAAGAAAAAAGGGGCAATTTAGAGGGGTGAAGGCCAAATTTTCTTTTAACAAAAAGGCTGTCACGACAAAATTGTGGAGGCAAAAGTCCAAACAGCTATGACAAACTGACATCATCAGTGGCATCCCATGTTCTCATGCTATACAATTCATGCAATAATGCATCACAAGCCATCATTAGGATGAAAAAATAAAAAAAAATAAAAAAATATAATACATTTTCATTTAAAATTATATAAAATAATACAATTTAATTTATAAATATTATTAAATATAAATTTTTATGATGTAAAATATTAAACAGGTTAAAAAAGAAAGAAGAAACAAACGGCTAAAAGGACCTTGAAAACCTGATTTTCTCTGAATTGCAACGACAAGGGGCGTTTGAAGTTGGCAACGCTCTCTGATAATGTTGTCGTACACCGTACGTTTGGTACAGTGCCTCCACGAAATCCTTTATCCTACATTTCTTTATTATTAATATTTGATGTTAAGGCGAAGTACTTTTCCGTTTGCTTTGTGCCTTTTATTATTTTTCCCTTTACAGCGCACGTGTGGGCCACGTGAATGAATGCCGCTGGTTTTAACAGCTGTCTTTGGTGGACACACCGACACATCACAACACAGCACTTCTCATCCACACTCACTACTTACCCCAAATCCCAATCCATTTTCCAAAATGGTAAATTCCCTTTTATGGCAAAAATCCCATTCTCATTTCTACATTTTTTCCCCTTCCACAAAATTCAACTTTGAAATTAAAGCCAACGTAGGTAAAAAGCACCTTCCTTTATAACAAGTTAATTTCGATCATTGGTCACAAGAAGATCTACAAAGAATGGCAATCAACTAACCAAGGCCCACTATTTAGGATGAGTTGTTTCGGCTTATCACTTTGTTATTAGACGGGGAAGCATACAGCTTCACATCAAACACCGACCATCACCACCTTTTGGAAGGGTAGGTGTGATGAGAGTGCCCCTATTTCAAAGAGTGCAACTTCTTAAATGCCCACATGTGACCTTAACCCACCCATCACAGAGGACGCACTTTCACACATTAGTTTTTATTTATTATTGTGCTTTTCTCAAGCATTATTATCTTAGGTTTAATTTAAATAAACAATATTTTCCCGGCATTTTTAATATGATTTAGGGGTCCACCGTCCAATCCAATTATAAAGGGTAATGCTAAAAGGTGGAGAGAGTTATGAATGGTATCAACCACCCAAAGACCACACCCCTCTATAACATAACCAACCCTTCATTTAAAACACATGTACCTTACCTTTAGATGTCAAACATAACCAAAATAAAGCCATCAACTTAAATGCCATAACCGACTATTTTCCAATCCCAAGACCCACTCAGCTTTTCCAACCTCTGCCCAATGCATAAATGACAATTCCTTCTCAACACTCTTCAGTTACACTGGGTTTAAGTCTTAAAGACAATATAAAAAGCAAAGAGATTTGAAAAAATGAAAGCAACTTAAGAAAAAATGGGAACTTTTATTGATTAAATGGCTAAAAGATAGGACAAGGAAAAAAGAACAATAATAACATTTTCATCCTCCTTTTGCTAACTCAGTAGGTACCCCACCACTCATCCTATCTCCCCTCAAAGGCTTCCAGCGTCTTGTATATATCATCACATATATACATGTACAGATCCCCCTCTAACTAGCACAACACCCTCCCCTCCCTTGATTTCTATATCTGTCTATATTTGTCTATCTTAAAAGGTAATTTAAACTCATAATTAAATCAATTGTACAGACATATAACATTTTTTTTTGTTTTCCTTTTAACCTTCAAGAAACTGGGGGTACAAGAATAGATGACCTAGTGAACGAAACGGGGTAGAGAAAAAGAAAATCGACTAAGGGAGTTGGGAGGAACATGGAACCAAAGAGCAATGGGGAATGAATGAATAAATAAAAACTCCAAAAGGAACTAGACTATTTCTAGGTTCCAATGACATTGGCTGCTAAAGAGATTATTATCTGGTTTTGACTATGTCACAGGTATCAAGTGATCACTTTATGGTGGGATCAAAAGACTGGAAGAGCTGTAGAGACTAGAGAGTTTAACTGGAGGTGTTTGGGGCAACAAGAATATGGAAATGCAGAAGACAACAGAGAAGCATTACAAGTCATGAGTTCTAAAAGCTGTAATGCCTCACAGAGTGTTCCAACATGTCGCGACTAGGGCACACAATTTCCTTCACTCGGCTGCCATTTTTGTATATCTTGAAGGTTGGTACAATCCTAACATTCTCTGCAGTTGCAACTGTTGGGCTTTCTTGAATGTCCACCTTTGATCAAAGACAAAAGAGGATCGCACACATTAGGGAACTCGCATATTGCTCTCTTTTAAATTCAAATAAAATGAAATAACAGATAGTAAAGTCAAAAACACTTCATTAATGTGTGAAGTGAGTTACCTTGAGGAAGTTAATAGATGGATATCGACCACATAGTGTATCTACAAATGGCGATATTTGCTTGCATTGCAAGTTAGATGCAACTTCAAAATGGACAATAGATACACCTGCCAAGTTTAGAGATATTATTATCAAGAGAGTTGAAAATATAACAGCTGACTAAAACGAGTTGCAGAGGACTCCTCTTTAACCATTTTAATTACCTGGTAAAGATATCGCGGCTCTAAACTGCTCAAGACCTGATACTACTTCCACTTCACCACCAAATTTTAAATTATATACTTCTTCCCCACGTGATTTCTTTAGGGAAACTTGTGCATGAAAAAGAGCTTCAGCAACTTCATTGTCATTAGGAAGTTCTCTCCGCAAGACTTCATAATCTTTGACTGCTTCTTCCCACCTTTCTAGCTGCATGTAACAACAAGGAATGATGACATCACTAACTCCCACGAAAAAGATCAGTACCATACAGAATAAGAAATCAATTCACCTTGCTGTTTGATGCAGCCCTCCGAAGAAGGGCTTTGGTGTAATTTGGTTGGATATGTAAGGCTTGGTTGGAGTCTTCAATTGACCTTTCCCATTGCCCAAGCTTAAACCAACAAGCTGCTCTATTACAATATAGAACAGCATTTGAAGGGTCCAATCTCAAACCTTCCCCATAAGCAGAGCAAGCTTCAGTGAACCTTTCAGATTTAAATAGATCATTACCACGCACTCGAGCTCTTGCCACCATCCTTACATTGTTGAGCAAAACAGCAACTTCAACATTCCGGGGATCAATCTGACTGGCTTTCTCAGCAGCTGTAACTGCATTCTCAAACCTGCAACACACCCGTCATCCATTTTCACTCACCAACAGAAACATTTGCCATCTTAGGATTTCCAATGAAGGTCTATAGTGTATGAAGAACTCACCTTCCCAATGCCATCTCAATCTGAGCTCTGACAAAATAGGAATAAGCTTCAGCAAGCATCCCAAAAAATCTAGCTTGAGAAGAGGAATTACTAAGTAGTTCCATTTTGGGAATATGAAACATAACCGATTCTGCATCATCTATTTGGTGCAGCTTCAAAAGGGCTTCTGCTCTACACATAAAGAGCTGTAAATTCAATTTCCAACCAGTTCAGACATTTTATCCACACCTCCATAACACATTCAACTCAAACATGATAAAAACAATTATAACAAGTTATTAACATCATCAACAACAAAAATACCCGAGGAGAAGAATCCGCTCCGGCAGCAACAGCAGCATCAACTTCCCTCAGAACACTCTTCCAATCCCCTATTCTCCTAACATCCCCACATTTGCTTATATGCTTTTCCACCACTTGCAACTTCTGCATCTCACACGGATCTAACTGCAGCCCGGGATAACAAAGATGCTTCCTAGCATTTTCCACTTGTCCCAACCTGTTAACATCACCACTTCCCATTCACATCAAAACCATTCCATATTTTACAACCAATCAACTAACTCAAATCCAAACAATCTTACACATTAGGAATCTTTGCAATGCCATCAAATCTAACAACCAACAACTTTAATCTCTTATGAAAACACTTCCTAAATTAAATTAAAAAACAAATAGAAACAACATATAACAGAAAAATCAAACAACAACCACTAAAAGATCATGATCTCCACCAATTCCAAATTCCAAAGATCTCAAATCAAAACACACTACGCTGACTTCCTCACCTAAGAAAAAGAGAAGCCAATCGCTGATGAGCTCTTCCATAATTAGGATCCAACCTCACAGCCTCCTCACATTCCCTCACAGCCTCAGCCAACCTTCCCAACCCAGTCAACGCCGCGGCTCGGTTACTCCGGTACGCGGCACTCGCCGGCGACATCGCAATTGCGCGATCGTAGAGACTCAAAGCATCAGCAAAGTGACCCCTTTTGTAATGTTCATTCCCAGCTCTCTTCAGCTCTTCCGGATCCACACTCTGCACCCCTCTCTTCACCGTCTCATTGCCAACACCGCACCTCGAACCCGAACCCGAACCCGAACCCACCGTCTCCGCCTTTGCGCCACCGCGCATTATGCTCCCGTGGCCGTAATTCCCCATCCCGGATCCGAGAACATCCGTTCTGGAGCTCCGACCCGCCGCCATCCCCGTCTTCAGGATCTTGCCGGAAGGGCATATGTTTCCGGTGGGGAGAACATTCAGCGCCGGCGAATTCACCGTCTGACACGAATAAATTAACGGCGCCGGCGCGGATCCCGAATCGGATCTAACATGACCCGGTTTGAAACCACGCGCATTCCCCGCCGTGGGACTGTTCTCACTGGAACCGGAAAGCTCGCCGGAGTTGCTGTTATTGTTAGTGTTACCATTGCTTCCGGCAGGTGTGGATTCGGATCTTCGGGTAACCGGGTTATGCCCGTTTCTACCAGAGAAGGATCCGGAAGAGCTTGAACTGCTACTTGCTGCGGGTCCTCGGGTTCGCAATGGCGAAACAGGTGAACCCAGATCGAGTTCTCGGAAATCGGGTTTGTTGGTGTCGAAGTTCACCGTCTCACGGAAGCGATCGGCGAAGGCGTCTATACCCACCACCTCGGAAACGGGTTTTCCCGAAGAATGAGACATTTTGGAGGAAATGGGTCGCGAAAAATTGAATCTTTTCGTCACCCTCTCTCTCTCTCTCTCTCTCTGGGTTAGCAATGCCTGTTAATGAAGAAGCTGCGGCCAGTGGAGAAGGGCGAATTTGGAAGCTCTGTAGAAGAAGACATGAAGAGAGAGAGAGAGAAGAAGAAGGAAAGAAAGAAAGAGATGGGGATCTCGTGATATAAAAGGAGGAAGCAAAGAATGAATGTGAGTGTTGTTGGAATTCTTAGAGAGAGAGAGAAATAAAGCTTTTTTTTTTCCTAGAGAGAGATGAAGACTGTGTGTGGTGTTGCTGTTACTGTTTCAGTTCAGTGTGTTTAGAGATAGAAAGAGAAGGATGGAGAAGAAAAAGAGTGAGCTTTTATTTTCATTTCCTCCTCCTTCACCTGCTGCTTCACGAGACAGGTTTTACTGCTTTCTTTCTTCTCTTCTCTTTACTTCTTTGCTTTCTCTTCCCTTTTCAATTTTCATATTTTTTAATATATTAGTAATAATTAGTAGTAGAATATTTCACATTTTTGTTTTTAATTTTTGGTTCGGTTTTTCTTCCTCTGTGAATAGTGCTCTATCTGTATTTTTCTGCCTCCATAATTCGCTTTATTTGTTGTTGTTTTCTTGAGCCAAATGTCACCCGAGTCTCTTTTGGGAGGTGTGAGAATCACTCACACTCTCTCTCTCTCTCTCTCTCTCTCTCTCTCTCTCTCTCTCATCCTTCGGCCAAAGCCAAGTTTCTCATTCCCTGTCATTTCTTCACTTCACTTGCCACTTGTCCTCCATCTTAATTACTCTAGCAAAGTAGATAAGTTTCCCCTTTTTTATTTTTCCAAATTTATAGATAAATTGGTACAATGAATTTCATATCTTTTCCTCGTGCCCCCCACAATAAAACCTCACTAATGGTATTTCACCTTAGAAACACACGCATTAATTTCCTAACTCTTGAAATTCATAATGAAGATTCACTGCCTCTAATTCCTCGTAAATCACAAAAGCACTAAATTTCTTAATTAGATTTTAAGTGCCCTGTAAGTTTCGAACCTGCCATGGAATGTTACGAAAAAGAAAAATAAGAATTGCTGCAATTGTGACATTCAAGTTAAATACCATGCTTGAAAGGAAAGAAAGACACATGGTGAATTAGATAATCTTCGAGAAAACAATATTTATACGACTAATGAATGCATCAATCCATGTGTTGAAAGAGAATTAAAGTGTAATTAAGGCCCCATAATCCAAATCAAACGCGAAAGAAGCATGGTATGTGGGTGGGTGTCTGATGTTAGTAAAAAAAAAAGTCTCCCACCAATAAATAACCCGCTGCCAATGGTATTGCATTGCCATCAGAGTCACTCACTCCCTCACTAACTCTTTCATCCAAATTCCTCATCCCCAAACAAACAAAGTCCTACACCACGTGGCATACAGAAAGTGGCAATGGACCACCCAACACAAGCAGCATCAAAATCAACCCTAGCAATAGCATTTGCAGGAATAGCCAGCGAAGAACAACAATCTTCCCCCTCCAAATTCATTGTTTCTTCTTCTCCAAAACCCCATCACCATGAAATTACATCTCTTACTTCACACCACCACTAGGGGACCACACTCTTCTACAAGTGGACCCCACCTACACCTCACTACAATTACTCTTGTGCATGCCAATATTTACATACACCCAACCTTTCTCTCTCTTTTTTTTTGAAAAAAATACATCTAAAAGATACACGATTAAAACTTATAATTATAAATTTTTATTTAAAATAAGCATTTTGTGTGTGTCTCTAAGCTTGCATTTCCTCTGTTCATCCTAGATTCTTGAGTTCTCCACATTATTCACTGTCTTACGCAAACAAGAAGCAGCTAACCCCACTGAGTCAGATTTTATTGTAGACTCCTAACGTTATGACCACCGTACCCTTCAGTCTGAATACTAGGTATGAAAATACATAGGGAGAGAGTAGGGGTAATATGGGGAGTTCATAGGTGCAGTGCTCGACAGAAGTAACTAGCCATGTGTAGGAAGAGGGTGTGCCAGCTGGCCTTTCAGGGGAACCCAAAGTGTAACAGTGGCATCCAGCTAAGCACTTAACGGACACCGTTTAACGCCGTTAGTGTGACGGAGATGGATGGTAACCCTCGTAGAATGATGAGGCACTCCATCCTATTCATGCCAGGTTTGCGCCAACACCAAATCGTGCCCTTTTGCGACCACTATCCACTGCACTCGGGTCCACTGCAAGCCCTCACCAGGGTCCGACACGTGGGCGTATGAAACATGAACCGCTTTGTGATGGGGTGGACTTTTTTGACCCAGATCTACGGGAACGAATTAATGGGTCAGAGTCAAATATTTTGATTGATTGAGAGAGCATGGTCAAATTGGATTCATACTCAGCAAGCTTATCATTTTGTATTCCAAATTCTCAACACCTCGCATTAGTAAACATTCATTGTGATTAGAGGGATCGATCAATTTCTCTATGATTTTGTATGCAAATGTTGTTAACTATGTTGCTGTGTTCTACGTTATCATCAACTATGATGTTACTTGACTCGCGTCATGCTTGATCTGTCCCGTAGCAACCATAGCACAGCATGTTCATTTAAATGCCTCTCACATAATTTTCAATTGTTGTTGCTGAAAGAGATGTTCAATTGTTCATTCATTCACGTTATCTTCGTTTTCTTGCGATGGATTGATTCTTGGATGATGCAACTTGGTCGTGCTCACATTCTTGTAGCATTCTGTCACTCTTTTCTTAATGTCGGGACTTTTATTAATTAATCCAGATTGTTAATTGGTTCAATTTGATCAACGTTCTTAATGATTTCCTTAGTTAGTTACCAGTATAATAAGCTTATAGTACATGTATTGACAAGTTTCTCGGTTCGTACTCTTGATTTTGTGTTTATCAAATTACTTATTAAGTGCCTATAACCATTCTTTATTGATTGATGCAACCCATAGGAGATTCTATTATTATACCATTTGAGACAAATTCGGTGTAGACAAACATAAGTAGTTATATTTAGCTATTCTGGTCCAAATAATAAATTTTTTTATTTAGTTTAATAATAGGTTAATTTCTTTTACATGTACATTATTAAAAAAAAAATTGTATTCTAACAATTTGATGATAAATTCATCATTATGAATACAATTTTGTCAGATAAAAGTGAAATTATTAGTATGTCCAAATTCGTCTTAATAATATGATATATAATAGGCAATTCTATTAGTGTAAAATTTTAATATATATTACTAATACATTAAATATTAATATAAGATATTATATTTGTGTTAAATTATAATATTATATTAAATTTAAGTTTTACTTTCTTTATATTCCAAAAATATTGATGTAAAATTATTTAATTACATAAAATGAGAAATTACTAATTGATGTCAATAGTTTAACTAAAATTTCATACAGGAGCAAAATAAAAATAGAATTCACAGTTCATGACTGGTGGAAGTTGACTTAATTTGTAAGATTTAATTGTGCCATACAAGTCTTGGATTGAATTTTGTAAGGCTTAAATATATTTTTATAAAAATTGTCACGTTTAAAATTAGTCTTTATATATCTTTTTGTTAATTCTTAATTAAACGATTTGTCTATATATCTCCATCTTGATCAATACATAATTTTTTAAAAAATTCAAATATATTTGCAGTTTTTATAAAAGTTATTGTGTTTAAAAATAATCCTTAAAAATTTGTTAAGATTGGATTCTTAATAAATTAATCAAATAAAAGCTTAGCTCCTGCCTTTTAAAGAAGGTTAATGAAAATAAATAAAATAGATTATACACTAAGTATTTGGCATGTAACAAGTTGAATCAAAACATCGTTAGAAAATTTTTAATACTTAGTTGACATATGTTAAATACTTGAACTAATTTTTTTATTAAATTAATTTATTAGGACTAAATTTGTTAAAAGATAATTTCCAGTACAATAAGTTTTATAAAATATTGTATACTAATGTTAAGTTAAAGTTTCATTAGTCACTCAGTATTAAAATAAATGAGAGTGAATAGCAGAAACTAATATTTTGTTTACTTAATTTATTTCAAACTAAAATTCAATAAAATAATTTTAAAAATAAATATAAATATAACAATTTTTACAAAGACTAAAATTTTATTTAAATTAATTTTGTAATTTTGCCTTGATTCATAACAACATCATCACCTTTTTTTTTTACCATCGATAAAGAAACGCCGACAGCTAATTTAAACTTTATATATTTGATTGCTTTGCATATAATGCGCGCGTATAGCATACATGACACATTCATTATATATAGAATTGCTATATAGGATTGCCTATGCATGCATCTATAATTCTCTACGTAGGAAGGACAAATAAGTAGTTCAAGAATTAAATCAACGATGGTGCTTGCGTCTTGGGTGCTCCACTTCAATTATTTTCTACCAAAAATGGTTGAAACCTCAACTTCCTTGACTTAATGTACATATATGGTATTTTGAAAATAAAAACAAAGAGCCTAAGTTTCCTTTTGTGAAAGTCCACTCAATAACTGTGTCCTGCTAATCTTATTGTCCTGTTGTTAATTAAATGAGGGCATTATCCGGAAGTGACCTTTACCAAGAACCAAAGAAGAATTAAAAGGTAGAAAGAAAGAAAGAAAAGAATCATCTTTCTTAAGCAATACACAACAAAATGGTTTATATGATGTTCTAGGGAAAGTTCAATGTACTAGACCCTAAGAATGCTTCTTCTTGGGGTATTGTATCATATATTATAACGTAACAATATTCTCTTGCTTTTACCCAAAATAAATTACTATTATCATTTCTTTATTCACTAAACAAAGCTAGAGAGCAGGACATCTTTTCGTTCTTGGCATTACCTCAATCATTATATTAATTATATGGAGGAGTTTAGCCAAAGATATGGTTAACAAGTGTTTAATATCCTCTCTCTCACACTCAGGATGATATAATTTATTGTACACACGATAAGGGTACCAATACTCTACCACTATTGGGGTGACTACATCTAAGTTTTGGTGGTATATATAATGGGGTCCATGGAGTCAAACTTGTGTAAATGCAATAGGGTTGATTGGCCATTCTTCAAGTTATGACAATTGGCATCACTATAAGAATTGCCCAACTATATTAAAGCACGCTCATGTTCCTTAATATGAAATTTAAATAGGATCACACTATTAGTGACTTTAAAACCATGATTACGAAATGAAAATTTTAAAAAATATCAAATAGAAAAACATTTACTTTAATTTTTTTAATCAGTATCCTTAACCATTAGTTATCATTTAGCATTTAAATAAGCAACAAAGCTCTAATGTGCTATAAAATTTATAAATCCTAAGATTGATTTCCAAATGGTTGCTCCTATAGCTACCCCTTCTCCATATTATTAGGATCCATTTGATTGGTGGTGTTGTTACTCTTAATCTGGCAGATGGGTT